CCAGCATAACCTAGTGCCTCAATGCTCTACGGAACCGTTTCGTGATGAACCGTTCGCTGCCTCCCTCCCGCTGCCGCCGTCAGAAATGGTCCTTGCGCCGATGTGCCGTCTGTTGAGAATTTGACCACTGGAAACCCCATCAGTTGAGTGCGCCGGCGCCCGGCGCCAGGCCACAACGGCATCAGCTAGCACTGTCGCCGTCTGGTTGGCATTCGTCACTGCTAGACACGGCGGCCAGTCACTAACACTCAAACTCTGCCGCGTGAGGTCTTGGCTTCCCGAGCTATGGGGCACCGTGCCCCTTTCTAACATCAGGGGCCGAATGATGTAAAGTGCGTGCCAAAAAGCAATGTTTCTCAAAATTGCTGGCCCATGAATCGTGAAACATGGGCAAGCAAGGAGCCTTTGTCCTGGCATGGGAATTACCGACCATGATACTGAGCTCGAGCGACTATGCATCACGCACAGGCAACAGCAGTAGCCCGGACATCGGGCGCCGTGTTCGTAGCAGAGCATTGGCTGATTGTGCTCTCTGATGGATTGGCTTCTCGCGCGGCCTCGGCTCTCGCTCTCTCGATCGCACATCGATGCTCCGATCAAAGTCTGCAGACTGTGAAAACAGTACAAATAAATCTCCACTCGAAGAAGGTGATCATGTCCCTAATTGATCCCTCAACTACGTGTGTTGACATGCCGTCCCGCCCGTAGCGCCATCACAAGACGCGCCGTCTGCGCCATCAGGGGCTGATCCTCAGCTGCTGTTCCCACCATACACTGTGCTCCTGGAATGGGAACGACCCTTTATCCAGGAGGCTGCATGGCGGGCTGTCACTCTACTCTCATTGGATCATTTCATCTTGACTACTCCAACCTCACACATCGAGAGGGCTGAGCCCCGACGGCCTCGCGTGGATCGCGAACAGTCTAATGGGATAGGCAGCTTTTTCGGCTTTGAACATCCGATGTTGTGAAGATCAATTGACATCATGGACGGACTGTGAAGGCTTCCGAGATCGAAGTACGGGGTCTGACGTTCTTGTGCGGAACACTAGTCAGCTGCTCTGACCGGTCCCAAACTGGGCCGATTGCTAGAGATACCTCGTCATTGGCGATGGTCCGACGCCAGTGACTTGGGATACGTCAGTTCGGATATTTTTAAACGACTTGGAAGAAGAGAGCTGGTTGCAGATGTGATCCCGATTCCTATATCATGAGTCCCAGTTGCCCATATTTTCTGCTGGAGCCGATCAGCACCTGGAAATCCACAATTGCTGCATCTCCATCCTCGGCGCTTTATGCTATTTGGCCACTCTTCAAGCTTTGGATCGCTGGGGAACATGCACCTTATCGTGTGGGTTCGTGTTACTTCGTGGCTTGACCGGACCGATGACGTGAGGCGGTTGGCAAGTTCCGTCTGGGCCGTAACGGCTTGGGTCTCCCAGGCTATCCATCGCCATCACCATTACGAAGTGGCTGCCTCCCCATGCACCGAGACAGAGCAATGCTAGGAAAGTGGCCCTGAAGACGTGATGCGTCGCGTAACAAGTTTTGGGGTTGCCAAAGGTGCGAGCTCGGCTCTGCAGAAGCGTGATGAGTCGCCTCGTGCGGCGCTCTTAGCACATACGACCATACCTACTGGAAAACTCGGGATCCCGTCCGCTCTCCCATCGATAAACCAGTAAGGGCTGAACTAGTAGTTGGGTGGGTGACCACCAGCGAATCCTCGGTGTTGTATGTTTTGTCTTTTTGGCCGTCGCATGGTGGGCGACAGACATGGCGTGGTCGGGGTTCTCGTGCTGGCTGGGGAGAGAGTGTCTGGCGAAACGGAGATTTCGTTGGAATTGCTGGCCAATGAAACAGACTTCTCGTTGATTTTGGCACAAAGCCTCCCGCGTGCGGTTTCTTTTGGGGAGTGCCATGCATAGGGCGCTTTCAGACTTTCGACGAGGCGTGGATGGGTAGGGATGGCTTGTGGGATCTTACAGGTACTACCGTATAGATCTCTCAAGCGGTGCCTTCTTGATTGCTCAACGGCTATCAAGTCGCAGCACGAACTGATCCGGAAGGGAAGGCAGTACAGCCTAAGTGCTGGAAACCGAGCCAGTGTTGAGCCAGTCCAGTACGGTCCTCTTCCCTCCTTCGTCGAGGACTTCTCTGCAACCGATTCACGCGCCACTCCGCATGGAAAGACACACGCGGCCGATTCAATTGACGATTGGCAGTTGCAGAGCCACTCTGGTCGCGAGCTTGATATAAAGTGCCGTGGCGCCGGATTATGCTCGCCCGATGGAGGAGAACACCATCTGGTAAAGCATGCTCGAGTCCAAACAGACTTGTGACTCTTGGAGACACTAAAGAAAAGACTGACTGGGTTAAAGACCGAACATCCAAATTGTTCATGATTAGCATGCCGGCGGTGCTCGAGCCTTATCATCGGTGCATGCACTACACCATCTTGCCATACGAGCACCGGTATATCGAAGGACAATAGCACCGCCGTACAAAGCTTGGGGAGGGCCGACGCATCTCTTTCGCAAGCTGAAGTTAGCATTACCAGGCGCAAACGGCACGCCAGTCGATATCATGAATCAGGTGTATATTGGTCAAAGGATACACTGAATTTATTTGTTGAGCAACATGCAAATGTACGTGTTTCAGACCGTATCCAACAGAGGACAGAAAAGTCCATCGTGAAGGGGCACAATATACAGAGACCAGCCACATTCCCACGCTTACGGATCCAACATGCTCAGTACCTTTTTCTTCATTGCCGCGAGTTCCGCGTCCTTAGCCCGCATCTCTTTCATCAGATTCTCGTACTTCTTTCGCCACAAGCCGCCGCCGCCCTTGGTGGTGCCCGGGTCATCTTCAGCCTCGCTCACGTCGGGCGACCTTTGCCACCGCTCATGCTCTACAGTCTGCGCCATCCTATACGTCCCCTTCACACTGCCCAGCCGGTAAACCCAAGAGCACTCAAAATGCGTGCGGTCCTCGTATTCGATGAGCCGCCTGACTTGCATCTTATCAGTCGTCATGAGCATCGTCCCCCCGGCCAAGGCAGCTACATTGATGAGGAAGGCGGCGTGAGAGGCGGCCGCCGCGTAGAGGGCCTCTATGATGCTAGCAACAAGCGCATGAGCCTCGTCGAGACTGCAGGGCGGTGTGCGTTTACCGCTCGCGTCGTACCAATCGGCGCGCAGAACCTCGCTATGAAAGTAGCCAAATGTGGCGTCAATATTGGTGCGTTCCTCCATATCATCGAAAAACCCCAAAGGAGTCACGCGCGGTGCAGGGTCAAGACTAGGGACTTCGTGATCGGTTGTCTCAAAGTTGAAAGCTGGGTTCGACGTGTATTGCTGTGCGGTTGAACGCGGGTTCGATGTGGCAGCAGCGGCGCGAGCGACATTCGTCGGAGCAGTGGTGCTGGAGAAAGCCTGGTTCATATAGCCTCCATGGTTAGGATTCGGTTGGCCGTTGACCACGACCTCGGGAGGTAGTTGCATGTTCGGTGGCGGGAAATAGGGACGGGGCGGTGTGGCAAGTCGCACCGAGCCTCCAACGCGCTCGGGCACTTGGAGTGATATGCTGGGCTTGGTCGGTCTTTGGGTGTGAACCGGGAAATCTGGAGGTAGAGGTGCTGTAGGGGGTATAGGGGTCGGTATAGAAGGGGCACCTATCGGTGTGCCGGCCAAGGAAGTGTTTGAGGGGGGCGTATGCATCGCCGGGGTGATGGCTTGGTCGCTGCCATCAGGTACAGAAGAATCGTAACCCGGCTCAGCTGCTGAGCCTATGGGGTGTGCAGATTTGTCCATGATGTTCCGATTCATGGGCGGCCTGCCACGAGCCTTGCCATTGGCATTGCCTCCGAGCCCGCGACTACGCCATGCTGAGGAGACAACTTTTGCGCCGTGGCGGCGCTGCTGATGTGTTTTACCCTTGGGAGTCACGGCCGACATGGGCTCGTTGGAGTCCCCCCAGAAACTATCTCGGGTCGTGGGCGTGATAGCGGAGAGAGGCCCGGGAGGGTACGCTGTCAAAGGGGTTTGCGCGTCTGGTTCATGCAGCCAGGGACCTGCCCCTTGGCCGGGACGCAACAGGGAATCGGGCGGCCGTGCAGTAAAACGGCCTCTGGCATCGGGATGCGCCGACCAAGGGCCAAGACTGTTGCGGGCAGCACCGTACTCTTCTGAGGCTGGCGACTCTATTCTGGGGCGCTGTGAGGGCGACTCGTTCAAGCTCTCCTCCTCGGCCCGTTTCTTCCCGCGTTTGGGGCGTGCTTGGGGCACCAAGGCACGCAAGGCCATGTCATCCACGGGAGCGACACCATCTCGTCCCTCTTGGTAGATGGGGGTCGGATCGGTGGGGATATCAGTCCAGTAAGGATGAGGAATGCTCATGAGATACTCAAAAAAGGCATCCACATGCATCGAGTGCATCCAGCGCTGAGCAGCAGTTAGCAGCGAGCATCAGGAGGGCGACAGCAGGGCTCAATTGATACCTTTAGCCTGACGGCATACTGTTGAATCTTCTGGGAGCTCTCCCCTTTGTCCTTATCGGGCGGATCGACGCCGAGCTTGAGTGCGAGCTCAGCCCAGGTCTTCAGTTCCTTCGTCTCGAGTTGCCTCACGAGCAAGAAGAGGTTAAAGGCAGTGAAGGACTTGCCGCCGGATTTCGGCAAGGCACGAAACGCTTCCCGCAAAGTACCCGTGTCCGTCTCCAGGGGTACGGCGGGGTTGCAGTACATGATGAAGGAGACGAAAGCATCTTCGAAGGTAGCCGCGTCCACATGCCTGCTTGGAAGCGTAGGGCGGATGAGCAATGGTGCGGCTGCGTGCTGCCTCGCTCGGGCGGGGTGAGACGGCGATTGCATCACGTGGCCCTGCCCATTTGCGTGTCTGTTGGGCGGAGGTTGCGAGGGTGGTTGAAGATGAGCTGAAGCCATCGCGACGTGTAGTGCAGCCAGGGAGCTGAGCGTCACATCATTGGTGACTGCATGCGAGTTACAGCAGCACTTGGGTTGGTAGGGCTGCAGACTGATGCCAATGGATGCTGAGGTCAATGCCGGTACAGATGCGGTCAATCGCTAGGGTGGTGCCGGACATGACAGAGCGCGGGCGCGGACCTCGTGAGGGGGGGGTGTTGTCGCGAGACGAGTCACGGCAACAGTCAGTCGATGAAGTTGACTGTTACCCAGAGAGACGGCAACGGCGCTGAGGTTGAATTGGGAGTACTAAATTTAGCTCGTGGGCTCATGAGCACTGGGGGCCTGCCCGCTGCCTGTCGCCCACTGTCTCTTGCCCACTCTCTATTGCCCACTGCCTACCTCAGGAGGTACCTAATGCTGAGCTACTCCCGAAACCGTATTAGAGGGGGCGGCATCGACGTCTTGGCAATCGCGACCCCGGCGCGCAAGCAAGTGCATCCCGATGCGTCGGCAGTCGCAGCAGTGCGAAGCCAGACGGCACGGTCTTTGCACACAGTATTGCGTCATGTGGTTTCCCCAGATTCTGTCCTGTCCATCAACCACGCCACCGATTTGTCAGGACAAAGAATGATGAGGTGCCAAAGAACCAACGACTGCTGGCAAAACCACCTGCCAAACAGAGGAAGGGCAGTTCGTTGCGGCTTCCATGCTTTACTAATCTGAAGACCGCCAACCATTAAGTGATACGCCCTTCTGTCGTCAATTCATCATGGGCCCCATCCCATCAATTGCGTGATCGGGTGTGAACATCACAGCTCACGCAAGCTCAGCTCATGTTCGGATGACCTCGTCCACGTCTGATTTCAAATACAATATCCATCTCCAGTATATAAAGATACAATCATCTGCCCCTCGTTGTGGTTTACTTCACATCCTCTAGCATCTATTTACTCGCCCGTCTTCCAATCTCCTGACCAACACGAGCACCACGAGCGAACGTACACTGTGACTGCCATCAGTCCAAACTGCCTGTGACAGCTCCGTCTTGATCTATCAGACCGTACAACTTACGTCCGGAGTTTTTTTCCTCTTTTACGGTGTCGCATTACAATCATGTCTGGCAACACGACGGCGACCCTAAACTTCTATGCCCCACCCCCCGACGGCGCCGCTCCCTTCAACCACGTTGACCCTCCCCCTCCTGGTCTGCCCGTTCGCAACTACACGACCGATTCACGCCCTGTCCCGATAACAGATATTCGCGGCTCCGAGTCCTCCTTCCAGAACCTCGACCGTGACGCCTTTGCCCTCTTCTCAGGCGAGCCGCCCTCTGCCGAGACGGCCTTCACAGACGATGACTCGATCAGGAAGAACTACTACCCCGAGCTCGAGGCGCTGCTGCTGAAGACCATCCCCGGCGCCAACAAGGTCATCTTCTTCGACCACACCATCCGCCGCGCCAGCAAGAACAGCCCCCGCGAGCCCGTCCAGCGCGTCCACATTGACCAGACGGCCCGCTCCGCCGCCCTGCGCGTGCGCCGCCACGCCGCGTCCGACGACGAGGCCGACCGCCTCCTCGCCGGTCGCCACCGCATCATCAACGTCTGGCGACCGCTGAACCGCGGGCCCGTCGCCTCGTTCCCCCTCGCCTTCGCCTCGAGCGCCTCGCTGCGCGACGACGAGGTTGTGCCCGTCGAGCACCGCTACGCCAACGGCTACACGGGCGAGACGGCCGGCATCCGCTACCACGAGGGCCAGAAGTGGTACTATCTCTCCGGCATGACGGGCGACCAGAGGCTGCTGCTCGAGTGCTTCGACAGCGAGGCGTTGAAGGAGGGGAGTGGCGTGCAGGGAGGGCGCGTGGCACACACGGCGTTTGCGCATCCCGGCACGGCGGAAGATGCCGAGGGACGGGAGAGCATCGAGGTGAGGGCGCTCGTGTTCGGGCCCTGAGAGCGGATGGACGATAGCGAGAACAGCAAAGCGAAGTGAAGCATAGCATGTGATGAAGCCATGAAATATCTCATAATAGCAACTGGGTATCTGCACCAACGAACTAAAAGAGTGTCCCGTGCCCTTGCGAACGACTATGATCACGTCTTCCGCCATGTGCTGCTATCCCTGCCTATCCCCGTTGCCAGAGTTCTGTATGCCAATGATGCTTGTGCGTGGAACTGCCCGCTGGATCCATGTAGGGCCACTCACTGGACTGAAGATGAAAAAATATAAAAACCCATGTGCGCGATAACCGTGCCTCGGTATCAAGACCAAGAAAATCCTCATTTCAGTCATGTAACCAAACGCCGTCTCATGTGTTGCCGCCTCGTTTCTTTCCTCTACCGATCACTTGCTTGCCTGCAGGCCTCCACCAGTTCAATTCTTCCGTGTCTTACCACGGGCACTGCCCTGCCGGCTCATTGTGTTACCTCCGGCGGCACTGCTTTGGCGGCTCATCGGGGCCGCAGCCCCCAGAGCTGTAGCAAGACTTGAGGGGGCAGAGTCGCGAGCCTCGACACTGGCGAGATTCTCATTCATCGCCTTGGGATTGGGGCGACCGCCGGTGCGGAAGCCTGTGTAGTGTGTCCTGACGTAAGGGGCAACGACGGACTCCAGCAGTTTCTTGCTGCCATTGGGATGGTCGATGGACGCACCAGGCTTGTGCTTGGCATCGTACTTTTTGTAAAGCTCCATGAGAAGAATATCCGAGTTGGCTTCCTCGACTGTCAGTGAGGTCGGGCAATTCTCGGTAACACGACCGTTGGTCTTGAAGTACGAGGCGATGTGGGTAGAAGGGATCTTTGTCGGCTCGTGAGGCTCCAGAATATCGATGTGTTTGGGTAGCTCGAGGGTATTTGACGCATCTGCCGCATCGAGCAAGCTCTGGTTGATACCGGCGCGAGTGCTCCTCGTCGTATGGGATGCCGTGCGCTCCATCATGGGTGCCGAGGCCGAGTCGCCGTCTTGCTCCGCACTGTCGTTATCGCCGTGGCCTGAATCGCTGCCGTTCGGGGACGTGGCACCATTGGAGTAGACCTTGTGCTTCTGGATGTACTTGTGCGCCGCCAGAGATGCGTTGAGGCGCGTGAGCGAAAGCTCCTTCTCGGTGAAGAGCTTGTCCAAGCTGTAGGCGGGGCCATGGTGCTTCGCGGCGTAGCGGAGCTTCTCGTTCTGCCACAGGGGAGTTGTGGTATTGGGGTCGAGCGCCCTACGCGCGGGAGCTGGAGAACCGTCGTCTTCGCCGGGAACTCGCTTCCGCTTCTTGCCCTCGGAGTATCCGGGGATGTCGTCGGCATCCTTGCGCAGTCGGGTAGCTCGCTTGTGGGTGCCGCCAGGGCTGGCAGGGTTTGTAATGCTGAATTGGTTGGGATGGAGAAGGAGAGCAGACGAGTCGGAGATCTCGAGCGCTTCCTTTTCTTTCTGGAGGCGGTATTTCCGAGAGGAGACAGTGTTGATGAGTCGGTCACGGAGGGTGTCGGCTAGCGCCCGGTGCTCGCGGTTGGCAGCTTCGATCTTGTAGAGGTGCTCATTCTGGTACTGGTGGAGACGGCGGTCATGCTCGTGCTGGAGAGAGCCGGGTCAGAAAAAGCGAGACGACGAGGACAAAACTTGGTGCAGTCATACCTTTTGCTGCGCAACGCTCGAGTCGCGATACTCGATCAGGTCCTCAACTTCCTGGAGGAAATCCTGAAGCCTCGGGCCCGACATGTGCAGGAGTGTGCGGGTGTTCTCCGGCAAGGTTTCGGGGGTCTGCGCCTCGGCATGATCACGACGAGCGCTGGCGATGACCTCGAGTGCGTCAGAGGCATATGGGTCGAGGCGCTGGACGAGAGTGTTGTCGACTTGGATCTTCTGCAGCTGGTCTCGGTAGGTGAGGTCGCGCTCACGGTGGAACTTTTCGTTCAGGAAGGCTAGTTTCTCGGTGATGAAGAGACGCTTTCTCTCCCGTTTGGACGGACCAGCAGCCGCCGTCGACTCGTTGGCAGCCATTCGGGCGGTTCAACTCTTGCGTCGGCGTAGTCTGACAAGCGGAGTTGTGCGCTGCCGGTATGGGTGGAAGGTGTAAGGACACTGGAAGGTAGAGAATGGGAAGTGGGAGGGTCAGGCGGACGGTGGACGCTCTGGTGGTGTTTGGTCCTCAATTCAGCCTTGCTTCGGCGAGTGGTCTTGTGGCTAGGGGACTTGATGGCTGCACAGGCCGCCATTTCCGACCAATGGAGATGGCCCAAACTCAACAGCGACGGGCCAATGGCGAGGAGCCTACTGCTTTGTGCATCAATGCACAACGCTATGCATAAGCTCTGCGTCTTGTGCATGACAGAGACAGCAAAGGAGTTGAAGTCTACAAAATATATTACTATAGTACAAACAATGCAGATCACAAGCCAAGTTGATCAGTACGCTGCCTGAGGTTTATGTTCTTTCGGACAACCCTAGATTCGCGTACGAGTATTCAGTGCAGGAAAAAGCCTATCGACGGTAGTTTATTGATGAATCGTCAGCCCAAGCAGCTGAGCAACGAACCGCGTGTTTGTTCAACTCATATTAATGATACGTCGCCTGATGTTAGAAAAATATGACCAGTCCGTCGCTCACTACAGTCCGCTTCGCAGCTTTTGGAGCTGGCTCATCAAGCCGTAGCCTCCGAGGATCGTCTTCGCCTCCTCTGCCTTGGCCTTCACACTTCCCTTCCTCGGCCTGTTCTCCTCACCGGTCTCTCTTTTTGCAGTGTCCTCTGCCTCCCTCAACAGCTCCCGGTGTCGCTCCTCCACCATCTTCGCCAGTCCCTCGATGAACCTGACACGTCCATTCTCTTCCGCCGTACCCTTCCACACCATCGTCAACTCCTTCAGCTCCTCAACTCGCTCTGCCGCCTTCTCGATACCAGCAATGGCGTCATCTCCCTTGAGAAGGTCAGCAACCTCCCCCCGCAGCTTCTTGAGCACCTGCTGGCCCTTCTCCTCCGTATTCTGCTGCTCCCCGGCCCCGCTGCTGAAACTTCCCGTGCCAGGCTCCGGCGCCGAGACAGACAAGAAGCCCGATGCCGCAGAGAGCTCGGACGGCGGAAAGACAAACTCCATCGCGTCACCAAACGTCTTGATGACTGAATCCAGCCGCGACCGCACGAGCGTCAGCGTCCGCAGCTGCTTCACGTGCGTAGGCTCGTTGGGGAGCGACGCCGCCTCTGCGCTCACAGACGCTTCCTCGTCGGGCGCGGGCGTCGTCGAGGCGGCCGAAGGACGTCTTTTCACGTCTGCGCCCTCCTTGCTTGCGTCGGGTAGGCCTTCGGGCAGGAACTTTTGAATGTCGGGCTGGAGCGTCTCATTCATCGTCTCGGCGAAGCTGAGCGTTTCGCCGCGGAGGAGCTCGACCTGGTAGGCGAGACGGCTTCCGCTCCGAAGAATATCGTCTGTCAGCTGGGTGAGCGTGGTCGATAGGCGGGCCGTGTGTGCATTGAGTTGCGAGAGCAGCGTCTGCGTCTCATTTGAAAGGTCGGCGAGGGGTACCGCCCGGTCGGCACCTTTGGAGGTCGAGCCATGCTGGAGCGAGGGCAGAGTGGTGTTGAGAAAGACAGCCGGGTCGAACGATGGGTCGAGAAAGTCTTGTAGGAAGCTGTCCTCGACGTGGCTAGATTTGGGCTGGAAGGCGGGCTTCGCCTGCTGTCGTGTGAGAAGAGGGAGGTTCTTCTGAGAAACGGAGCTCTTTTGGCGGCGATGCTGCGCCGACTTTGAGTCCCACGACATGCCTATCGACCGAGTGAACTGCGACTCGAATTCTCTTCTCAGTATCCGTGAGACACGATCATAGACCACCGCTTCAACTTATGTTTCGCTTGTGTGCTGTACGCGTTCTCTATATGAATGCGGCGAATTCTGGAGGGTCGTTGACGGTGTTGGGGTTGAGGTGGACACATGGCAGGTTCATTAGCGGCTTCAGCCGCTGTGGTTCGCTGGCAGCGGCACCATAGATTAAAACCACCGTGCGACAAAGCCGAGTCAATCGGAAGGGTAGTCCAGAGGCCCATTCCTCTTCTCAAACCACATGCACTGTCAGAATTAACGATGTGATGTCTAATCGTGCACACAGGACTTCGAAGGCATGTCTTTTGAATAATAAAATATTCATACAAGCTCCTGATCATACTTGCCAATAGGTCGGGCGGGAATCTGCTGTTATGTCCCCTATTTATCATCTTTGGGCCACAGCAACTTTCGTTGCTTCAGGCATACGAGCATGGTCACAAAGATCGCCGCCCAGACAACTATCAAGCACCCCGTCATGACGCAGGACAAGATCATAAGCCCCCCGTTCTCAAATGCCTTCGCCATCGCCTCCGTGGCTGTGATCAAGGCAGTGTTCGGAAACACAAACGACCACCATGTCATGTGAAAAGGCATTGTCCTGTCCGGCTTGGCGTATTTCCACAATGAACCAACCGACACGAGGAAGAACCACATAGAAAGACCCCACAGCCAAAGGCCAATCATGACAGCCATGATTTTGACTATCGGCACAGCTAAATCAGTGCCCATAAAGTTCTCAGGCAACACCACCTCTGCTTGACTTGATATCTGAACTGCAAGGCGTCAGTCACGGAAGCGGACTATTGGAATCATAGTAACATACCAATCCCTGCAACAGTAAAAGCGTATGGTCCGATCGAGATGAACTACGGTACTGTTAGCTATTTGAGATTTTCACGCACTACGGGATGGCACCTACGACACCAGGCCGCTGCGCATCTCTGGGCAGTTTCTGGGTCATCAATCTGTAGATGAAGGCCGATGAAATCATGAAAGCGATGAGACAACCTGCTCCTTGCGCCGCAATGGCGCTAAGTGCAACGGCTGTTGTGTTGACGGTGAGCCCTTGGCCCGACGACACGGCAGAAGCAATGAGATTTCCAGCAAAGGGGGCGTTGAGAAGCAATGGGTAAGCGGGAAACACCCAGACCGGTGTCATCATGTGAATAGGGAAAATTCTGGACCTCCTGTCAGACAAGGGCTCCGGCTGGTAATTTCCAAACTCACAAGGTGGACCAGAGAATCAGGTAGATAGTAGCACTAACCATGACACTGAGTGCCAGGTTGATCCAGAACATGACCTCCATGGTTCGAAGTAACCAAGGGCCGGTGTGGGGAACTCCATATTGACAAGTGTTTATCATGATTCCGGTAATACTGAGAGGTTAGAGATCGTTAGAGAGAGGGAGCGAGGCACGCACGAGACAAACTGCGATACGTCAGCCTCAACAAGGCACTAAAGCGATGCTGATACCCACAAATGATGGTATAAATAGAGACTCCATCTGATCAGTAAATGAGTTCATGAAAGAACCTGGTCGCAGACGGAAGCGGGCCAAGAGAAGACCACAATTTGTCATGAAGAGGAGAATGTTGAATATGAAAAAGGCAATGCCAACTCCGTCTAGCCAAGCGCTACGATATGACACTGCACCAATGGTTAGCGAGTGCTCCCTTTGAGGCCGCTCGAAAAGGAACATACGCGAGTGCAGAACGCTAGCGATGCCACCGGTAGCCTATGGTTGCAATGATCAGTCCAGGTCAACAAGCTCTTCATGGAGGGTTTACCATTGTCTATTTTCACGTCAGCAGTGGTTGCAGAGATATCGGAGACAAGGCTTACCATGGCGAACCATGTCCACTGATGACATGCGATTCGATCTCGGAGGCTGACCTTGCCATTTGGCTTCGTCGCAGCGGTTGCTAGTATCCCGTTGAGACTAGAGCCATGAGAAGATGCAAGCGTTGGGCGGGACCTTGGGCCGGACGACGAGGTCGGTGCACCCTTGCAACAGCTTCAGACGACTCGTGAGCAGAGCCAGATTGTTTGGGGGCAGCATCAGTAACAGGTGACGAGCTGGCCGGTTTGGTGGGAGGGGGGACACTGAATAAAAAGGGCAGGTTGTTCTCGTCAGGCGATTCGTAGCCGTTTGAAGCTACATGTTGTACCACTTCGGTACGTGGGGGGGCCATGCTTGCGCTGGAGCATCTAGATTATCTGGTCTATATCCCAGGACCTTGACAACAATGTAAAGAGGGATCAAGAACTCGGGTTCCGTGTATCGAAAGAAGAGGCTGATATGTACGAGATGGGTCAAGAAAATGACGTGCCAAAGGACCAGCGAGCCCACGTTTGCAAGAGGCATGATCTCATGCCCTTCTGTTGTTGTGCGATACCCAAGGAGTGGAAGTTGGTCGTTGGGTCACCAGGTTCGGGTAGTGGGTGGGTATCTGGACTTGCCGATCAGATCAGACGTGCAGGTTGATCGCGCCGGTCGCAGGCAGATAAGGACTGAGTAGGACCTGCACCCGGGAAATGATAAAGGGTGTTGAGCCAAGGCCGCGTTCGAGCTGATCATACAGAAAGAAACGCTGGTAATTGGTGATGGTGCAAGTGAGACGATCCAGGTGACCGTGAGGAGTGAAGTCATTAAGCAGGGAGCATTGGCATTACCGATCCACACATGCCGAGCAAGCGGGTTGTGCACTGTAGACACATAATCAACCCCACCAAGCAGGCGTGACAAGCTATGTCCTAGCACTGTGCCCACGTTGCGTGGCTTGGCAGTCGGGCACCCCTTCCTCGAGCGAGTGCAACGGTTGGCAAAATCACCATGTTGACACAAGAAGGGGAAGCAGCGGGGAGATCGCTCCTTTCGTGAAATATTAGGCAGCGCAGAGTCACCTTGGCCGTAACTGTCTTGGGGGGCACAAACAGGCGAGAATGATCTGGCTCACACCAACAACCTTAGCAAGCCGTTACTATGGCTCCTGTTCCTACACACCTTGAGCCGTTCTTGCTATTCGACAAATATGAAAATTTGCGGCTCAAGATCCGATCCGTCATCATCCTCGATCTTCCTAGTGATTTTCCGGCCATACCTACATCAGCAGCCCTGAAGGACCTGGTCTGCCATGGTAGCCTTTGGGTTGCACGAACGGGTGCCTGCAAGCTTGAGTTGCACACCAACGTTCATGTGGAAAGCGACGGGAAATATGTTTTTGCAGCAGTGCTGGAAAGATCGGCCTGGGTATTTGGGCATCTCGCCGTATGTTTGCCCTCAAGATCGCAACGGGCCACCTCTGACATGGCACAGCTTTGGAGCCAACTTGGCTTGCGCCTTGCCCGCGAAGACGACGTTAGCCTCCCATCAAATGTTGCCGTATTTCGTCTTTATCACCCTAGTCTTCATTCAAGCCTTCTGCCCCCGGAAGGCGCTCAAGTTGCCGGTTTCGAACGACTAACTTGTTCCCTTGACTTCGAGCACAATTCTGATGAAGAGTTCCATAGAATCTCGCGGGCCTCTGTGTCGGCCTCACGAAAGAGGAAAGGGGAGCGCGTAAGAGAGGTTCCGACTTTAGTGTGCCAGTCGACAGAACAAGACGATGAACTAGGCGTTCAGAAACCCCCTTCAGGGCTTGTCAGTTCTATCCACCCCACCACTGTTCAAGTACTGGACCGGCTTCTGGGCAAGTCATCCCTAGAAAGACTTGTAGAAGTCGGCATCATGGCGCTCGTCACAGGACAACGTAAGAGTTCGAAAGAAATCAAACTTGCAAGACAGGGCATGCCGATACCGTTGACAACATTAGTCCCTGCAGTCTTTCACATGGATTACCTGGATGTACGTCTGGAATCACTGTCGCCAGCCAGACGCAGCTAACACGATGTAGGCCGTCGCACACAGGTCTAAGCTGTTACCCTCCATTGCGTCGGCCATGACTGGACTTGAGTGGGCACAGCCAGTGAATTCGAGCAAGAATATCGCCGACGAAACCAATAGAAAAGCTTCAAAAGATACTTCGGAATTGCAAAAACTACTGTGGAAGCTAATCATCAGCAAGTTGAAAGCACCACGTATGGTACAAACGAAGAGCAACACCACAAAGCAGATCTGCAAGAGAAGCATAAATGCCACATTTCCCTCAACCGAATTATATGCCTCTACGAAGCATGGCGAGCTCAATCAAGATTCAGTAGCACACAAGGTCCCAGAGAGCACCTCAAATCACGAGCAGTACATCATGGAGTTCTCCACAAGTCACGATGGTCGCACATCTGGTGTTTTGGGAGCAGACTTGTGGAGTGATTGGGATGAGAGACTCAGTGACACCTCGCAAACATGGCAAGAACTCCCTCGAGATGGAGTTGATTGTTCGAGTGGCCATGCGGAGCATGCAATTCCTGACTTACCTGATACATTTCTTCCTACTACTACAGGTTTTGAGCACAGAGACGTACTGTGGTCTGACTGGGATAAGGAATCGAGTAGCTTTGAGTGTGGCTACACTTTCCAATCGAGTTCTCAGGTTCATGGTCCACCTCAGAGGTCACAGCCGAGCCCTGATGGACGGTTTGGCGAATTTTGCAGGGCCAAAAGTGAAGACTCCTGGGATGACGACGGTAAATGGGAGGATAATCCGGCGTTGAGATCTACGCAAGGATTCATTCAGCATTCTGGAGGACGCCTTGTCATCCCTGACCAGCCCTGGCCGGATGAACCCAAACACCACACTGGCGACCGGCCGGTGGCCTGCAGGATGCCGCCCCTCTCCTCCACTACGGCTGGCTTGCACGGTCTTGGGGAGTGGACAGGACAACCTGCATGTGAAGACGAAGATGAAGACATGTGGGACGCATGGGACATGGATGATCATTCTGAAGTCGAGTGGTAAAAGTCTATAGATAGAAATAATGCATCTCGCTGCACATTGCCGTCGGACCGACTTATGATCTCTGGAGCGTGACGACGAAGAATTTGTACAGAAACCGTGCCTTCATGCCCGGCATGACACAGGCTCGGCTCCCAAGAAACATCATATATTCAAATTCGCTATTCGAGCAGGGTTGATGATGGTCCTCTGCAACAATCAAGTCCGATGATTGTCCGCTCTTATCGTAAAGCAACACTGCCACCCTCATTTCTTCCCCGCCGGTTTCTTCTCCTTCTTCTTCTTTTGTTCCGGCTTCAAGGTGGCGAAGTGGATGTACCAGATGAGAAGGCACTGCGCGATGATTCCGACAAGAACAACAACGAGAATCGTAAAAAGCATCGGCTGGTCGTTCAAAGTGGCCACAGCTTCGTCGCTGGCCCCAATGGACTTCATGAAGCCAAATTGGCCGCTCATGGTGGGCGATTATGGGTGGGTGTTGATATGTGCTGAGTGTGGGTTTACTGGCGACTGAGCGTTCGTTCGTAACCGTCGATGGTTTCCTTGTGCGATCGCAGGTAGACCGTAGTACTGGGTGATATCGACGTTTGCCCCGGCAAGCGTTTATCGGCGCAAGTGTGTATTACAAAGGTATAGACGGTCAAAAGGACGAGGACTTGGGATGGGGTATCGAGTATCGAGTGCGCCAGTCACCGGATGAAGAAATGGACGATGCGAACTGGCTGGTTGCCGAACGGGCAGGAAACGACAGAGAATGAACGCGTACGAAAAGGTGGTTGAAGTTGAACCTTGAAAGACATGGAGAGAAGAAAGAGAGGCCACTCGGCGATGGGTCTTGAAACGGGAGACGTCAGATCGTACTCGCACGACTCCAGGGCTTGGTACGGACCAAGCTCTGGACCAGGCGCTGGCGACCAGTGCACGGCGTGGAGCGAGCAGCCCTGTGGAGGCGCGACGTGGGTGCCGTGCTCCCTATCTCCGGGCGGGGGGCAGTCAGTAAAGGGGTTTGGTCTGTGTTTCACAGTTGCGCCAGAGTCGACTGATTCCTCCAAAGGCGTGGCCCGGTGGCTCGATAAACGGCGCACATGCCTGTGAGGATGTTCGCTGTGACATGAGGAAGAGATGGCTGTACATCGCTCCTTCTTCGTGATATGGGTTAAGTTTGCCTGGTCACATGGGAGCTTGGATGCCCAAGGGCAGATTCAGTTACTGCGAGGGGCTGATCCGGTCCAAACCACCTGGGCGGCAGGTGAATCCTGCTTAGATAAGCGAAGAGCACCCAATCATGTGACTTCGTGTATGGATTTGACGCAGCCAATGGACAGTGTAGGACACAGAGCTCTGTGGATCTCCATCGTGGTCCAAAAAATTGTCCAATTCGAGTGTCGCGCGACATCAAGCTGCACCTCCTGCTCGCCGACATCTCGAATCCACACCCGACGACGACGTCCAATTGCTGCCAAATCTGAGCAGGCGTGAGCCTCAGATATTCAGCAGCCATGAACGCGGCACGCCCGACATCGGGTCTCCTCTCGCGGTGCCTACGACAGTCCGCCCCGACAAGCTCCTCTGCCCCTTGCCGCTCCTTTCAGACGTCCGCCGCAAAGCTTAAGAAGAGGTCACGATTCAAGAACATCAAGGCATCCGAGCTAGGCCTGACAAAGCCCTCCGCCACGAAGGCCTTTGCCGCCCAGAACTTTCCTGACTATACGGAGCAGGAGAAGGAGTTTCTTCGCGAGAAGTACACCCCGGAGCAGTTCGAGCTCTCGAGCTGGCGAGCCGCATCGACCCGAAGACTTGACCCTGCAGGGCCAGATACGAAACGATCCCTACCGCTTCGAGTACCTCGAGGACTTCGCGACCGTGCAGCCCGTCATCGATGCTAAGCCAAAACAGCCCATCGTCCCACGGGAGGCTGAGTTCCTCGGCAAGAAGGAGTGGGTGGACAAGTACATCGACACACTCGCCGACCATGCCGAGACCAAGATGCAGGATACCATCCGGCAAGGCCGTTGCGCGGGCACTGCGCAAGGTCAAGCAGACCAACCCTGACAAGATCGACTTCACCGAGGAGGAGCTCGTCGAGCTCGAGAACAACCCTGAGCTCAGACGAAAGTACATCATCGAGGAGTCGGACGATGGGCTCTGGGCGAGCGCTCAAGCCGAGGCGCAAGGCGAATCCCAACGCCGTGATCCCGGGCGAGGAGTGGTGGGACAAGATTGATGAGACGTTCTACGAGGAACTCGAGGCAGAGTTTGAGAAAGATGCCAGCCCGCTTGTGGAGACGGACAGGCTCAAGGTGTGGAAGGCGATCGACAACGAGGTCGGCAGCTCAGCGTTGGCACCCGAGCTGGGCAAAGTTGAGGGCGTGAAGGGCCAGTACAAAGACGTCGAGGACCCCGAGGATCAGGGTCTCGACTCCTCTGGCCAGTACGGAGACGTTAAAAAGGCGTTGAACTTTAAGATGAAGGAGGTTCTCAGCATCCTGACCAAGAAGCTGGTTTCTCGCGCTGTCTCTAACCAGACGCGTCTCGGCAAGATCCGGAGCTACAGCGTCATGGTCGTGGCTGGCAATTCGAACGGCCGACTGGGATTGGGCATGGCCAAGTCCACGGATGCTCTGATCGCTTCCACCACTGCCCGGCTTTTGGCCCTGCGCAACATGAGGCCTATCCGGCGGTACGAGAACCGCACCATCTTCGGCACGGTGGAGAAGAAGATTTCCGGCACAGTCGTGAAGCTCGAGGCCCGTCCTCCTGGTATGTGCTTACAACCTCTGATCCGTCTGTCCATCTCCCGTCGATGACACAGCTAACACAATCCCACAGGATTCGGCCTCCGTGTGTCGCATCGTCTCTTCGAGATGGCTCGGCTTGCTGGCATTCACGACCTGGCGGGCAACATTCCGCGATCCAAAAATCCCATGAACACCGTCAAGGCGGCGTTCGAGGCGTTGACGAACCAGCCCGACCCGGAGCAGATCGCCATCGGGCGGGGGAAGAAGCTGGTGGATGTGAGAAAGGTCTACTACGGTGGATCTGTGTATTAAAACAAGGGGGTTCGTCATTCTCGTTGGATTGTTGTATCAACACTGTACATTGCCAGCGACGCAGCTAGATCTCTCCCAAGTGTCATATCTGATTCGTCTCGTGTCTCCATTTCTGCCTGGGTATCGTGTCCTGTCCGTCCTACACCGCTGCGCCATGTGCCGCTTATCGTGATACCCTGCCTTGCTCTTGCCGCAGAGCTTGTGTGATGGGTTCCAAGCTGCAATCAAGCTGTAATCCCACCGTTCTAGTTCTCCTCGTGCTGGCCGCCCCAATCAATCTCTTGCTGTAGCACAATGCTATACACGCTCGCCTTCAACAGCGTGAACACCAGACTCGTCTTGCGCTCCAGCTCCCTGAGCCCGTCGAGGATCTCGGTACTCGGCAGACCACTCATATTGTCCAATACGGACGCCAGCTAGCAGCATCAGAACCTCCGTCAGCAGACTGTCTTCCCCGCCACGTTCTTCCAGAGCAGGAGGCGGCGGTACCTTTTTCATATTCTCCGCTAGCCGCTCATATTCTTCCAGAACCTCCTGTTCCAGAGGCGAGAGATCGGGCTGCTGCGCCAGCAGGTGGGCGTCGCGGGACTGTTCCATGGCGCAAGTCGGAGCGGTCAGCCTGGGAAGAGGCGGCAGACTGGTGGCTTTGAACGCGATGGGCTCCTCGGGAACGCGCTGCACAGGTAAGTTTGGCGCGGACCCCGCGGTTGATGTAACTGGGTACTGTGCTTAGGCGCTCCCCGCAGTTGCACGTCGACCAATGACAAGAGTCAACCAACCCAATGATAAAATCATCTTACCGTCAGGTAGGAACCTTTAAACGACGACATCGGTTGCGGCTTGACCTCATGCTGGTCAACAATGCATTATTGAATGACATAAAACTTGGGAGCAGAGGCAATTCCATCCTATATGTGTCGTTCATCCAGATAATAAACGGACATCACTGCCAAGTCGATCACAGACTGAGCGTTTCATGGATAGATCAGGTCTGAAATGGATCACTGGTCTCCCATCATCTTGCAACATGAACTTCCCACAATGGCCACTCCACCACATACGACCATACCTACTGGAAAGCTCGGGATCCCGTCCGCTCTCCCTTTGATAAACCAGTAAGGGCCGAACTAGTAGTTGGGTGGGTGACCACCAGCGAATTCTCGGTGTTGTATGTTTTGGTATTTTGCTCCGTGAAGTGCTCCGTGAAGTGCTCCGTTTCGTTACCGAAAAGTCTCGCTCGTCCATCTCCAAATGGAGCAGGACCAGCAGGTCCTCCCAGCTCACATCTTGTCGTCATATCATGGGGTCGGTGTAACATGACGGCGGCATCCACATTGTCGACCGAGCAGTGGTTCGAGACATCGATGATAATGTGCAGGTAAAGTGATCCATAGCAGTTACAGTGACAGCAGCTGGAAAATAATTGGCATATGTTCCCTTTCTTTCCCTATAACGCCAGGCCGATCATAACTCCCAAGACGCAAGCATGTTGTTTTGAGCGCAATAAGAAGCCAAGATAATCAGTCGACCCGTGATGCGACCAGAATGGACTTGGTCACAGAGACATCCGAAATTCACCGTCCTCCGCACGCCCTGCCCTTTCCATTCCCCCTTTCATATATGTTCAGCCTCTTCCAGGCGTTAATGAGAGTTAATGACACTCTGGTGCGTGCCATTGTGTGCGTGTGTGTGCATGTGCGTGGGAATGTGTTATGGACCCGCAAGCGTGTTCGTCCATGTTGCGACTTCCAGGTCTGGGAGGCGGCGTACAGCTCCAGTGATGTAGTACAGCATAGCATGGCGTGCGGAAGCACATCCTTCCACCCCTCAAGACTTGAAGAGCCCCAAGCCGATTGACTACCTTTGATGGTGATGGCCTTGGTGATGGTGGTCATCATCTCCGTCATGGTGCAAGGTGACGCTGTTGAACTCCTCGAAGGGGTCCACAACAGGCTCGCCAGGTGTTGCCAATCCACTGTCCAAAGGAACCCCCTTGAGGTTCATCGGCCGAGACCTACCAAAATCGACACTCTCGCTTTCCTTGACGTTGCGGAAATTGACCGTGTCAATACCGCGGCCCTGGTTGGGTACAATAGGCGGCTTCATGTGTCGAATCAGGGCCCATTGCGTAGTGCGGAAGAACTGGTGCGCCTTGATGTCAGAAGCGCCAGCTTTGGCGCCGAGTCTTCGGTTTTCATCCTTGATCAACAACTTCCGGATCAAAGACTTGCAAAGACTTAGAGGATGTTAGTGATTGTCTGATCTCTCTATTAATGGGCAGACTTACGTGGAAATTTGCGGCGTGCCAGCAGTGTCTGGGAACGGGATATCCTCCCTAAGGATATTGGCGAACGTCCCGTTCCTGTTCTTTCCCTTGAAGGGCGTTGTGCCGTAAAGCATCTCATAAATGAGAATACCCAGTGTCCACCAATCCACCGCACTCGTGTGGCCGCTGCCCTTAATCACCTCTGGCGCGATGTACTCCTCCGTACCCACGAATGAGTTGGTGCGGAAGTTGGCGATGCATGATCTCGTGTCAATGTGGAGGGACGCTTCTTTGGTGCTGCCATTCTTTCCAATGATCATGGTCGGCTTACCGCCAGGATCAGACTGCTTGGACAAATCAAAGTCTGACAGCATGATATGACCCGACTGGTGGAGGAGAATATCTAGATACGTCAGGGGCGATCTGACGACGGAGGAGAACCTCACTTACTCTCTGGCTTCAAGTCGCGGTAAATGAAACCCATCAGATGAAGGTACTCTAGAGCAGCCGTGACCTCGGCAGCGTAGAACCGGGCATCCTCCTCAGGAATGCATTTGCCTGGCCGTGTCTGCAGCGCACGGAAGAACTCTCCACCGCTGCAGTATTCCATGCACAGGTAGAGGTAGTCCTCCGACTGGAAGGAATGGTATAGAGTAACGATGAAGGGGTGGTTGCTCGTAGCCAGGATCTCTTGCTCGGCTAGGGCTCGTTTGATCTTGTTGCGCTTGATCATCTCCTTCTTGCTGAGGACTGGACGGGTTGTTAGCAATGACTGCCGAGCCAAACATGACGGTAGACGCACCTTTCATGGCATACAACCGCGTGCTCTTCTTCTCCCGTACCAGGTAGACCTTGCCCACATCTCCCTTGCCGATGAGCTTTATCTTATCAAAGCTCTGAGGCCCAACCTCAACGTCGCGGACCTTGATCGAGTTGGAGCTGTACGTCCGCCTGAATGCTAGCGCGGTCCTGTTCGGCGGCGGCAGGCCGGCGAGAACGTCCTTATCTGGGTTGGATGATGTCGACGTGCTGCCGACGGTGGAGACGGCCTTGAGGTCGGACGAGTTGACAAGCTCGAGAGTCCCAAGAGTCCCTGTAAACCGACCGACCCGGGTCATTTGCCCTAGCTCGGCCGTGGCGGGGACGCTCGTCGCTACCCTTTCCCTTGGCAGCCTTGGAGAAAGAGACCCTGGGCGTTCGGGGCGCTGGCAAACCTTTCTAAGCTTCCTCGCCAGCTCTTCCCGGCCTGCGTTGGTGGCGTGCTTGTCGGGGCCGCCGTTGGTCGATTCGGCCTTGAAGCTCGGTGTGTCAGGCGGGCTCGGTGGCACGGAGCCCTCATTGTGGTGGCGCAGGCCAGGCTGGCCTTGGTGGGCAAAGTAGGGGTTCGCGTGGGCTGTCGGACTGAGGGCCTCGTCGAGCGGGTTGCCCTCGCTGGCGGACGTGTTGGTTCTCAGGCGACCGACGGTGGTTTTGAAGAACGACGTGTTACGGATGGATGACTTCTCGGGTTTGGCGGGAGGGCTTTCTTGTGCCAGTGTCTTGTCGGCGTCCTTGTCTTTTGTCTTCTCGCTATCTTTGCTGGCGCCATTGGCGTTGATCCGAAAGAGGTTCTTTAGCCTCTGGTTGAATTGGTTGGTCGTGCTCCCATTCTGGGGTTTGGAGGCAGGCATCTCGGTGTTGTGACGGTCATGCGACCAGGGCTGCCATGGCTCGAGGGAGGGTGCAAATGTAGGGTTGGCGGAGCAGGTCGATGAGGACTGGTGTTGGTGGGAGGACAGTTTGGGGAACGGCGAGGTCGAGAGCCGGCGATGGCGGATGGCGGATGGCGGGAGTCGCAGCAGCAGGTGCAGGAGGATAGAATGGGCAGGCCGGCTTACGGATCCAACCCAGTGGCCAGATGAGCATGCATGGGGGTGGCAGGCGCGTGTGTGTGCTACCCAAGGCGGACAGGAGGACAGGACAGGCCAGGCGTTGTCTACGTATAGCGGGCAGGCCAGGTGGTGCGGCTTTTCCTTCCCCTCTCTCAGGTGCCTACTACCTACCAGGTAGGTACCTACCTAATCACAGAGCGAAGAGCGACCTGGCAGGCAGGCCGGGATTGATTGCGGTGTCCAGCGACCCCCAGCCATGGAAGCCCCTAGCACCCCCAACACCCCTAATGGTGGATCAGTGGCGGGCACCACGGCCTTCCGTGCAGCATCTTGTCCCACCGAGAATGCACCAAGCCTCCCCGAGCGAGCATTGCTCTCTCCATGCGACTTGGCGACATCCAAATGCCTACCTCGTAGGATCTCCAATGCTCATTCTCATCACTGGCCCGGACTGTTCCAGCAGTATAACACTCAAAAACCTGTGGCCTGCCTTTGGCATTCGGGATTGGAGCGTGAACTTCATCATCAACATTCAAGACCCTTGCTGGAATGAGCGGCTGGCCGCTGCTTGCTTCTTTGACACACCTCGGATGCTACATATTCCATGTTTAAGGCCGCAGCATGCGAGACAGCGAAATCGCCAGCAATTACTCCATCAGGCCAGTCATGAGTCTACCACTCACTACCTTCTTATTATCTGCCTGGGCTGGCGTCCCCTTTCTTCGCCCACTTGTGGGACACCGCCAGGTAGAATCGGGCAGGCAGCAAGACATGACAATCAGAGTCGTCTCCAGTGAGGAGGGGGGGAAAAATTACTGTCTGGACGAGTACGCCTGCGTGCGCAACCATTGCCACAACCGAAACACACCTATCTCGCCTTCTGTGTTGGCCGGCCGGCTGGCTGGTGAACAACCTGCCTGGACTGTTCGGCTGTGTCCCCGCGCATGCTCTCCAACAGCATTTTCCTCCCCGCCCAAAGTTCGATCGCCCCTTTCCGCTTTTACACTCGCTCGTTCGCTCAACCGGACCGACGCCGCCCCCCCTCCTTTTTCTGGAGGAGAGCTTAGAAATCCACCAGGTTCGGTTCTGGGCTCTTTCGGCCGCTTGACTCCTCTCGCCCTGGCGCATTGTCGGCCCATTGGCTGATTTGGAACCAGAGCTGGCCGGGGGACTACGTTGTGCCTTTGCGCGGTGCCTTTGTCGTGGTGCCTCAGCTTCCTTGCCGATGGAGTCATGCAGTCCCAACCGCGCATCTACCCCCACTATCCCAGCTCCTCCTGCGTTACGATGCGCCCGAAGGCCTATGCCATGCATACTGACTGAGCTACGTGCTGCTCCCCACAAGAAGAAGCCCTGGCGGATGATGTCAGAACCTGGCGTCGAGTGTCACAGCTATGGGGAAGCCCTTTGCAGGTGGGACTACGATGCAGCACAAGGCGAATCGCAACGGCCTCCACCTTGACGCTGCCGAACTCCAGTGTCTACTGAGCATCTCCACATTGACGCTCGTGTTGTGGCCCTCGATCCTACACTTGCTGGGTTTCGTTGTTTCACAGGGCTTTGCAGGGCCTTGTTGCTCCCAAAAATGCAAAACAAAAATGCGGCGGGTATATTGGAAACGCTATACTCGGCCTACCACCGGGCCTGGTCGTGTAAGATGGTGATCTCGTTAAACCTGACACTCGACGCCCGTATTGAGATCCACGTCGCCGAATGTTCCGGTTGAGGCGCAGCACAAACACCATCTTTTTTTTCCTCATCCGGATCACACTGTTACCCAGGTAGCCTCCTTTCATGCCACTGGACCCTCGAGTTCACTGTCCTCCCCACTCTCGACCTCGCTAGTGAGGTTCTGGTCGCGTAGCAGCAGAAGCATCCTGAGCTTCTTCCTGTTCGCCCTATACGTCGGAGCATCTTCCAGCTGTTGGTCCCTGACCGATGGCGTGACCTGCATGCCCGTCTTGTCGAAGAGATATCGCGGCAACTCCCCAGTGGCATCATCCACCATGTACTTTTTCGCCGTGATAACCGGGCCCTCGCCCGCCTGCCACACGATGGGCGGCATGTGCACCTCCTCCAAGTGCGCGCGCATCTCCTCCGCCGTGGCAAACTCGCGCCTGCCTTGCCTGCACCGCGCCCACTGACAGACCCTCTGCCGTCCCGTCCGCGCGTGCACGACGCTCACATGCCGCCGTAGCGTCTCAAAGTTGTGCAGCTCGGCGCTGCACCCGGCCCACTCACACACGAACCGTAGAAACCGCGGCGCGAGCGTCTCGTACACCTCACGCGGCCCCGGGGTCTCTGTCTTGGGCGGCCGGCCGCGCCCGCTTGCCCGTGTAGTAGCTCACCACTTTCGGCGTGCGGGTCTGGCGGGCGTTGGGTTGGAGCGCGCCGGCTTCGTCTTCGCCGACGACGCGGCCGAGACTGGGACGATAGCCTTTTGGACGGGCCGCGCCTGCCCTTCTGGGTGGAGGATGGGTCTGCCGGCTGCTGCTGCTGCTGTGTCTGCTTCTGGCGATGATCTTGCGACAGGTGCGTGGTTGCTGATCTTGCTGACGGCTGACGAGGCTGGCTTGCTGACGGCTGGCGAGGCTGGCTTGCTGAGGCTCACGGTTTGGGCGGCTTGTGCTGCTAGACGGCGAAATTGTGGTGAGAGGTCTGATGCGATGTCGTTGTCGCCGCCAGCCGCGTACGGGGCGCCGAGGGGAGCGGTCACTCTCTGCGTAGGGGTAGACGAGCCGAGGACAATCTCAAATCTAGATGAAGTCGGCGTCTGTGGCTCGATGGTAGTCGGCTGGAAAGAGGCCGAGCCTTTGGTGGAGGTTTTTCAGTGCCTCTGGTGGGCGCGGGGCGAAGAAGGTGTCAAGAGTCGGCTGCTGTGTCTTGAGGTGCTTTCTTGAGTGTGTTAAAGTGGCGGGAGTAGCCTTTCGTTCGCGCGTCGACGCCATTATGAGTTGAATGACGGTGAGAATTGGCGAGAGGCTCGACGCGTCCCGATCAATTGGATGCGTCCAGGAAGGACCGTAGGGTGCATTTCACGATGAAGTTGTTCAGACTGAGAGTTTGACGCCGAGGTCGATGTATAACCTACCAAAAAAGGTATACCTTCGGGGGCAGGCAGCATCTGGCCAAGCTCTTGACAACTGTCAGCACCTGACATGGTCCAGCTCCCGTCTCAGTATGAATGTGAAATGAACATGGTATTGGAGCCTGTACATCATTTCAGATGATCATCACGGGGGAGGACAATCAAACACATGGGCCTCTTGGATTTCTTATCATGTGCTCATCCAACAAAAAGTGTGAACATCCCGTACGGTCAAACTCGGTCTAGTGGTTTCAATCAGCACTCTCAATGAGTTGCATGCACTTGTTGCGTTGTTGCCCCGCCTTCTTCTGATACCACCTCTTCGAGCCCACCATGCCGGACTCCGGGGAGCGCATGCATCTGTATTATTAATCGTCACACAGATGATGCACCATCACGTCTTCAGACTCTCAATGATTCGAATGGCGCATTTGGACACAATGATGGTATCATACATCATCCCAGCAGCCTTTCGATTTGCCATATATCAAGCCTTGCACCTGGAGCAACGTTGAGCGACCAACAAGTTGGCCAGTCCTCTGCCCTTTCACCCTCGTCGACAGCAACCTCACTCGTCTCACCTCCGTCATCCTCTTGTGCCGATAGCCTGTGGAATCACTGCGTACCAACATCGATATGGCGTCCAAACCCTTCTATGCCGTGATTGCTGGCGCTGGCACTGGCACGGGTAAATCATCTTCGAGGTCTCGTGCTCAGCCAGTCATACTGATCAATCTTCAGGCCGAGCTGCCGCAGTTCGCTTTGCCAAGTCTTACCCAGTCGTTCTTCTTGCACGCAAACCCGAAAGCTACGAAGAGATTGTCAAAGAGATCAACGAGTCCGGCGGCCAGGCCATCGGGATCACCACGGATGCCACTGACGCCAAGGCCCTGAGCTCGGCCTTCGAGACCGTAAAACAGAGGCTGCCTGATTCAAAGCTGGCTGCCGCTATCTACAACGTCAACGGCGGCTTCTCCCGGGTTCCGTTCCTTGAACTCAAGCTCGAGGATCTGGATGCCAGCCTCAACGTGGCGCCGTACGTTCTCTCAGGGTCTCAGATTGCGGAGCATGGGGCATGACTGACGTTCACAGACGCGGCTTCGCTGTATTCGCTCAGAGGACTCTGCCGCTTCTCCTTGATTCCGTCTCAGACTCACCTCACCCGCCGACCCTGATCATCACAGGAGCTACAGCATCGGTGAGAGGATCCGCCCTGTTCGGGGGCTTTGCGGCTGGCAAGTTCGCCCTTCGCGCCCTTGGCCAATCTCTTGCTCGGGAGTTCCACCCCAAGGGCGTCCACGTTGCCCACGCCATCATCGACGGTGGCATCGACACACCGTGGGGCAAGGCCTACGAACCAAACAACGGTGCGCCTGACGGCAAGATCAAGCCAGAACAAGTAGGTGACATCCATGCATCATGTGAAGTCCCAAAACTGACTGACCCCTACCTTAAATCTAGATTGCGGAGGATTACTGGCATCTCCATACACAGCACCGTTCAGGCTTCACACAGGAGATCGACACCAGGCCCTACGTAGAGAAGTTCTGAGACGCAATGATGCTTGTAGCGAAGAATAGTGCGTCAAACAGTGTGTAGTGTGCGACCTGAATCAAGACATTTGAACCATTTCCACAGAAATGGCAATGATATACGATGTCCTCTACCGGGAAATAGTCATACTTCATTCGTCGTTGGCGAGCGGTAGACAGGTTCGCCGACCTGGATGCCATCGCATCGTGCCGCTCCGGCCGTCGTTTTGCAGTTAAACCCGTCGTAACGGGTGCTCGGAATCGGCGTTGTGCGTCGCGCTATCGGCTCAGCAGGTGTTCTAATAACATGAGGTTCGGATGTGCCATTTTCAAGACCCGGACGCTTCGACGACGGGGGCCGTTGACTCCAGCATGGCGCCCACAGCCGTGCCGTGGAGAGCAGCCACACGTTCAGCCTCCTTTCTTTCCCGCGCAGCCTCTGTCTCTGCTCGCAACTTCTCCATATTCCAGGCGTCGTTGTCATCATCGTCCTCATCGCCGGACTCGTCATCATCCTTCCAGGTACCGCTCTCGAACATCGCACGACCAGTGGCCTCCTTGGCCTTCTTCGCCTGCTCCTCGGCAGCCTTTTTGTCCAACCTCTCCTTCTTCCACTTGGCAAAAGACTCTGGCGTTACTGGTGTAAGTGTGCCTGTGAGCTTGTGTCGTTCGGACTCCAGGAACTCCTCAAGGGTGAGCGTCTTCAATGGTGACTTATCCATCAAAGCCTTCTCAGCCGCTCGCTGCTCCTTTGTCTTCAACACGAAACTAGGGGGGGTTAGCAAAACGTGCTGAGTGAATGGAATGCGTGACATACCCTGGCGGTAGAGCGTGCTTGTACATGCACTTGTCGCCTCCATTGGGACAGACCCAGAACCAGCCGTACTTGCCCTCCTCGATGGCCTCGACGAAGAACTTGCAGACCTTGTCCGTGGTCGTCTTTTGGTTTCCCTTCTTCGACAAGACGACGGACCGCAGCTTCTCTTCATCCCACTCCGCGGATGTCTCGACCTTCTTCTGCTCGTCCTCCTCGGCTCTGGTGTCGGTGTACAGACTCTTCTTGTTGACTTTGCGCTCGTCTTCGACATTGTGGGAAAACTTGCACTTCTTTCCCTTCTCGCAATTGCCCTTCTTGAAGAAAATGCACACCACAGTCTTGGGGTCGACGCCGAATGGGACTTTCTGGATTTGTGCGGGTTTGTTGACCAGGTCGGCCAGTTCCCTCTTGGCTTCCTCCGCAGCCCGCTTCTCCTTCTCGCGCTGAGCCTTCTCGGCTTGTTTACGCTTCTCCTCCGGCGTGCCACCAGACTTGGCCATTGCGCTGAGCTGGGCAATCTGCTTCTGGGCGGCGCCACCCTTCTTATTCTTCATGCCGAAGGTCTTGTCGGCCACGGCCTGCGCGCCCTTGGCCTTGGCAGGCTTCTCAATGTTCTTCTTGGGCGGCATGATGTCGGTTGGGCGCTTCCAGTGTCGAGTAGTCTACGATCGAGCAGGGGAGCTCGAAGGGTGGTGACAACCAAAGGCGTCACAGACGAAGATGTCGATAAATGGTGGGGGTTTGGCGAAAGGAAGAAAGTGGGACTGACAGAAATCCAGGATGAAGTCACGCCAGGATGGTCACGTGTATGGCGGGGTGTGAGAGAGAGAACACCTTCTGACGGGCGCCAAGCCAACTCACTGGCCTTGTTAGGACGCATGGTGGTACGTACCTTCAATTGAAGCTCCAGTTGTCCAGTTCCACCCCAATCGGCAACAGCCATAATACCAGCTTGCATTCAGCAACCGACCACATTCGCGACAGACGTCCAAACATCCCACTTCGCCGATCAACCAAGCGTGTGAGTCGCCTTGACATCGAAAGGAGAAGGAGGACTGACGAGCAAATACAGGATTGTCTCTGACCGTGCCTAGCCCCAAGAGCCTCCCGATACCACGAAATCGCGTTAGGACACATTTCAGACCAGCTACTCACGATGATCTCCGACGGCGAACTGTACCAGCTAGCAATTGTTCTGGGCTCTAGTGCAATGGCCCTGATTGTTGTGTACCACTACCTAGAGGTCAACGCTGAGGACGAGAAGGCCCCCGCGGTCGCTGGAGCACAGTCTGCAAAGCAAGCAGCCGCATGAACGACATCGTCAGGAGGTGCAGATCACAGTCGAAATGGAAGATTGAAGAATAAAGAGGACAGTGTACGATACCTCGGCGGAGTGTACGGACGAGAGAATGCCGACCTACAGCGGGCCGCAATCTGGTGGCGGAGGCGCTGGAGGTTGGTGGGATGCCCGTACGACGCATCCTGCTGACAGCGGGGTTGAACACAGATGCTAGGCAGATGGAAACGATTGGGACCAGGCGAAGCATTCCCCGTTGGCTTTGGGGGAGTACGATCATCCACTGCTAGGTGGTTTTTGGTGACAATTCTTCGTTCAGGGCCCATCCGGCCGAGAAAGAAATCCAGACTTGATACCCCATAGTCTCATCTAAGTTCTTGCTCTTTCTGTGCTTTCTGGAGAGACATGATAGTCCCTTAATCAAGTTGGTGACCTAAAGTCCTTGAGTTGGAGGTCTCCAGGCACCATCAGAGCTCTTGAAGCCAGGTCGCTGATCAGCCAATGAGCGAAAGCAATACATACCAGTCGCATTGTGGCTCATGTTCAGGGGCCATCCTGAAGTGGTTTAGCGTAACACGCCCAAGCCGGTGCCGTTGTTTTCTCAGGCGCGACGCCCCAAAGGTCCCAGCCCAGGCAGAAAACGCTGGTCAAGTGTCCCTCCCGCTCTCCTTCCTCTCGTCTCCTCCATTTCTCTCCTTCCAACGTTCACCACCCTTACACTCCCACCAGCTATCAGAACCCAAACCAGACGCGCCTTCCACTTCTTTATCACTGCACTGCACTATCACTGCAGTTCTTCCATTCTTAAATTAATTCTTCGTCAACCAAGCTGTCTACCGACTCGTGCAGGCAAATCGCGTAGGATCAGACATCCCACTTTCCTCTGACCAACACAACCCACCTCTCTTTGCGCGTCCAGCCTCGAGCCATCTCGTACAGCTGTCTACCATCACTGCAGCTTTAGCAAGCAGGAACTCACATACCGACTCCCACAACAAACCACTCCATATCGCCAATATGTCCGGCAAGCTTGACCAGTCTCTTGACGAGATCCTCACCACGCGCCGCCGCTCCAACGGCCCTCGCCGCCGCTCTCAGCGCCAGGCCACCACCACCGGCCGTCCCACGGTTGCCGCACCTGTCGGCGGTGTTCAGAAGAACCCCAGGAACGCGCGCACCCCGGCCAACAAGCCCACTCCGGCCAAGGCCGCCCCTCACACTGGTGACAGCAAGATCATCGTGAACAACCTTGTACGTTTCGCCATATCTATGTCTGCCATGCCCGACTAACACCCTGCAGCCCAAGGACGTGAACGAGCAGCAAATCAAGGTATGTTGCCGCTGAGGCTACCTTAGTATTCGGACACAGTTCGACATGTTTCCCCTCGCTCGCACACCCTCCGAAAGCGTTTCAGCGATGCGTATTCCTTCGGCTAGAGACGCCAAAAGCCGTTCCCTGGCCCCAAGCAAGATGCCGCAAGTCTCCTCTGCCGCGCACCACGAAGCTTCAGCCGTGTCGTGCCGACAAGAGTTGAGCACATTCCTGTCACGCCGTGAATATCAGTTGCGTCCCGGTAGCCTGGTCAGCACCATTGCAGCCTGATAAGCGATGACAAACCAAGGGATGTAGGCTGTTTGAGAGGACGCGAGCAACCCACGAGCGTGGCCTGCGAAACCTACCCGATCGAACGCTTACTTGATCAAATCTGGCTTCACATGTTGGCATGCAGCGAGCACAGCAGTGAGCAACAGTGAGCAAAACAATGTGGCACAAGAGAGTCCGTTTCCTGTGATCTGAGGGAAGCAATGATGGAAGCTCGGTAGCTCTATCATTGGTTATGCGAACGGTGCGCTTTTCATGGAGCATACATTTCAGTTGCGGCGCGATATTCATCTGGGAACGAACAAGTCGGCGGCTCCTAGGGCACTGTCATAACTTGCGTCTTTCACGCGGCGCTGGCATTCTGTGGGCTTGAACGGACGATCTATGGCTCAAAATGGCTGCTCACTGCTCTGCTCGCTGGACAAACTTTTGTGATCGACGATCTCGGCTCTGCGGATTATTGCGACGAAACGCATACGATTACCTACGCACTGTGATCGGAATACTGACATCAGACTCCAGGAGTACTTTGCGCAATCGGTCGGTTCCATTAAGAAGGTTGAAATCTCTTACGGACCGAACTCGGTCAGCCGTGGCATCGCCAACGTCTCCTTCAGCAAGCCCGATGGCGCTAGCAAGGCCTTCAACAAGCTCAACGGTCTGTTGGTCGATGGCCGCCCCATCAAGGTAAGCAAGCTCAATAAACTCTCCACAGTGCGTCTGCTAACGCAATGGTCAGATTGAGATTGTCGTAGGCGCCTCCCAGGCGGCCAACGTGATCCCGCCCACCAAGACGCTCGCCGAGCGCACTTCGTAAGTGGACAAGCTATTACTTGCCATGCCAAATACATCTGACAATTTTCATAGCCAGCCTAAGTCGCAGGCCAAGGCTCAGCCCAAGTCCGCCGCTTCCAACAAGCACAACGCCGCGAAGACCGCCGGTGCTGCCGGCAGGGGCAAGAAGCCCCGTCAGGGCCGCACTGCTAGGCCCGCGAAGAAGACCGCCGAGGAGCTTGACTCAGAGATGGCCGACTACTTCGAGGCTGCTCCTGCTGGCACTACTGATGCTACCTCTGGCGCTGCCGTCCCCGCTGCCACTGGCGACGCCCCCATGGATGAGATCATGTAGTGGCGCCGCATTGATGCAGATTCTTCATACGGTCCGGACTCCCCATCAGATTGACAACAAGAGCGACGGGAGGGCAGTTTCTGGGCACGGTTTATTATTTTTCTTCCTTCCTTGAATTGGTACAAGTAGAGCTGCGGCAGGAAGGTTATGCCTGGTAGCTCGGACAGGGGCGAGGTACCCGACTGGAACGGATGGCTTTCACACTTCGTTTCGATTACACCTTCAGACATGAACAGGAGCAGCGCATGATTGTATTATACCAACAAACACCAAACTAAAGATGAGGGAGAGCGCTACAGAGTAGTCTGGTAATATGAGCAATGATTTGGCTCGCATGGATGGCAATAGTAAGACGTGCGTGCCGTGAGGGACCTGTTCAACAAAATGAGTGATCAACTACTTGTCTTTGACTCAACCCGAACGCGCCAGTCTGTGGCTTGCCTGTTATCACTTGCTCCTGTGTCTAGTCAGCTAGGTAGGTATGCTCCTAACCCCTGATTCCTACCTGTAACCCAGCAAAGTACCAACATCTTTTCAGTCATGCATATACGACATTCCTATGGTCAACAATAGATTTCATCTGCTGAGAGAAATCTTTAAATCCCCAACATGGTGCTATTCACTCCCAAAGACTGCTGCGTTTGTGAGGAACAAGGAGCATTGAACAACGGCCACTCATCATCATATTTCAACACGATTCACTGAAGACAATCATTCGGTGTGCTGGCAGGAGAACTTTTTGTTTAAAAAAAATCATTTCTTTTGCTTTCATCAAGTCGACATTAAGAGGTGCTCGAGCGTCTACCGCGACCCTGCTCTCTTATTTCGTGTCTGCATGGATGGGTATGATCGAAGGGGAGGATGGAGTTCTGTAAGAGAGACCATGGGGAGGTAGGGTGTTGGTTAAGGCAGAGAGAACACAAGTTGAGGTAGATCGGGCGTCGGCCAGAGAAGACTGCTTATTTCGCGGGCTCCTTGGCAGCGGCGGCGTCAGTGGTGGCGGCAGCAGCAGCGGCGGGCTTGCTGGCGGCCTCGTCGCCCTCGAGGGCGGGCATGTCGTCCTCGTCCTCGTCACCCTCGTCGTCATCGTCGCCGCCAAAGTCGGCACCGCCCAGACCACCAGCGCCGAGCTTGGAGAAGTCGATGCCGCCAAAGTCGCCGCCGCCCATGCCGGGCATGCCACCCATGCCGGGCATGCCACCCATGCCCTCCATGCCGCCCATACCGGGCATGCCACCTGCGGGAGGGGAAATCGAGTCAGCAATCATTGTCGTGGATTGAAGAAATTTCCTTGCCCAGAGTGTCTGGTAAGGATTGACTTGTTACTTACCCATGCCGCCAAACTGGGAGAAGTCCTCCTCGGGAGCCTCCTCCTGCTCGTCCTCGTCGACCCACTTGTCAAAGTTGGTCTTGAGGAAGTGGACCTTCTTGGACTCCTTGAGCAGGCGGGGCCAGTACTCTTCCTTGAGCTCCTTCTTCTGGAGCTTCAGCTCAATGTTCTTGCCAGTGTGGTTGACCTTGCTCTCCTCCGTGTCGATCTCGCCGTACAGCTCGAGGTCGAGGTGGAAGTCCTTCTTCAGGGTGTCGGAGTGGCCATCAAAGGTCAGGCCCGTGGGCTTGAGGTCGAGCTTGAGGCTGGAAGCGGGGACGTCAGGGACGGTGATGGTCAGGTAGACGAAGTTCTTAGTGGCGTCGGAGGCGCTGGAGCGCTGGGCCCAGAGGACTGGAGGCCGATGTTAGTTCCGTCTAGGTCGTGACCGCCACGCAGGCCAAGCTGATGTTGAGAACATACCCTCGGGAGTTGCCTTGGTAGCAGACATGTTGTATGTGTGTGTGTGTGTGTGTTATTCGAAAGGTCAAAGCGGGATGCTGTGAAAGAGGGGTACCAAAAGCTGGTGGTAAGGACTTTGCTTTTTGTCAGAAGAGTGTTGCGAGTAGTGGTGGTGGTGTGGTGTCGAGGGATGGGTAGGTGAGAGCAGTGGCTTACCGGTCAAGTTGCTCGAGTTGTTGAAAAGGCTGTGGCCAGGTGATGGAAGTGCTTTTGCGATGACGGGCGATTGGAGGGCAGCACGGTCGGGAAGCTTCCATAGAAGGTCCGAGAAAGTGAAAGATTTGGCTAGGCGTGGGGATTGTGGGCCCCGGCAAGGCTGCCGCCTCAGCCCCGCCGATAGAGGGGTACCTGCGGCCATACTGCCAATGTCTGCAACGGCAAGTACCGCTGTACTGTTGGAGCTGGGTGCATGGGCTGGTGGTGACGTGTGACTCGCTGGAGCTCCAGTGGTCCCTTGCCTCTGTGATATGTAGCGAGGCAGGGTTCAGCCAGACATGCTGAATTGTCAATGCCATTCTGAAATCCAAGGCACTCACAGCTGCGGCTTCTGAATCGTGCTGCTTATTCCTTTCCGCTCCCGTCTGGCTCTGCCCGTGACCTTCATTCTCGGCAAGACCCCTCTGTGAGCGGTCGTTCTAATTGGTAGAGCAACGCTGAAAGGAAACCCCAGCCCCTTCCCCCCTCGCTCCCTCCCAACCACCACCAACATGTCTCTACCAATGTAGGTACCTGGGTACCTACCCAGGCACCTCCTACCCAAGCAGGCGTTGACCTACGCCGCCATCCACATTGGTATCTTTTCGGTCTTATTGCCATGTGAAATGGGATGTCTGGCGCCTTCACCTTGTGCACTAGATGGATCATTGTCGTCGTCTATTTGTTGTCACAGGGCCATGCTACAGATCCAGTGCCGTTTCAGTTTTGGACAAGCACAACAGCGTCGCAACGTAAATGGGTTACAAGTAAACCCTTGCTTTCAAGGTTGAGCGCCGTCTGGCTAAGCGATAATGACATCGCTTTGGTTGCGCCACTCCGTTTTACCAGGTTGGTCATCAATAAACACAAATAGCATCTGATAACTGAGCAGAGGAGAAAAAATATATCCAAGATGGGAAGTGGGTGGAAGGCCGTAAGTCCCATGCCATGAAAGCGCTTTCAGTCTCAGTACAACAAGCGAAGTACTCCATCTCAAGATACCCTGCATCAGCAGCTCGCCAGGACACAAATTTAACCAGTGCCCTCCGTCGGATCCCAACTAGGCGAGCATGCGCGCTTGAGATCGTCAGCATAACGTAGCTGGTCGATGAATCGCTTTCCGTTCTTGTCCTCGTTGTTCTTGCATTCGCAGAAGCTTTGAAATCATATCAGTGACTGCTCCTCTGCAATTCTTGGCAAGGAAGGGGGAAAGGGAAGGGGACCAGTCTTACAGTGTACCGTCGTGAGGACCTTCGCCAGGGTCGTTGATACGCGTCAGGAAATATTCCACCCCGCTGTTCCAATCTTCCGCCTCGTCGACCAAACCAACAGGTATGGAAAAGGTTCCTGGGAGGTCAGGTTTCAAGTCCCTCCAGGTATCCCAGTTGGGCTTGGTCAGGATCTCATCGAGTACAACGGAACCCGTGTAATTGAAGCCGAACATGTTGTGCGTCTCCACAGAGCTGGTGATGGCGTCAGAATGTTTCAGTCTGAAGGTGAGGCCGTTTCCCTCGGGGAAAATGTTGTAACCAGGAGCGTCTCGGGATCTGAACTCCCAGCTACCGAGTGAACGATAGGGCTCGTAGCTGTTGCGCATGGTCAATGTATGTCAGGACACTCAATTGGGCTGTAGTAGCTTCAGGGCCAACAAACCTCTGCAGGAAGTAACCCCGACCGTCATGGTACGCCTTGAGATTATCATCAATGTCTGCGGCGCCATCGTCGACTGCGTTGTTGTGTTAAAGCTGATCAGAAACGTCGGGTACACTGGTCAAAGGAGCTGCACCCCGGGGTCTTGAGACTCACACTCCTTCCGTGTCATCTTGTGGCCGACAATGAAGACAAGCGAATTCCTCCACGAGTAGTTGAGAATGCTGGCATGGAGGAAGGCAAAGAACCAACTCGCCAACTCGGAAGTTCCGATGCGAGGGACTCCATCCTTTTCACTCTGGCTGAGAATCGGAATCTTATCGCTGTTGAGCCACGCACCGTTCTTGAACACGTCGTCAAGAATAATTTTTGCTCCTTCAGGTCCGTCATAATGGCCCTGCTTCAGAAGGGTGTTATGCATTGTCTCGATGGCGGCGGCGCTGTTGTTGAAGTATCGGAGAGCCGACCCTGGAGCAGAAGTTAGCACATTATCCTGTCTCCTGAGGTCTGCAACTCTTGTTTCCGGAGAGGGTCATCCTTCAGCGTACTTTGCAAGATCGGCGGCATAACGGAGAGGTTCGTCCTTGTTCTCCAACGCATTCTCGGCAACTCCGCTGACGGCAGAGAACAGCCCGTTCGCGATCAACTCGCCTGTGTCGGAACCTGCCATGGCAGTTCCCACACCCAAGATGTGTTCCGTCATCTGCAGAAGCGCCTTGATGCCGACGTCTTCCAGGCTGGGCTCCGGGTAGTATTCTTCGAAGACGCGCTGCATGGCGTTGAAATAACCTAGGGTCGAGCTGACAGCCTGGTACATGGCTTTGTAGTAAGAGTGTAAGTTGTCAAGCGACTTCATGATGAGATGAGCTCGACCGCTGCCTTTGCTCTTGCTATAGCCACTGCAGTCGTTAGGGAATCCGCAATCACCGAGGATGGGGCAGGACACGCTGTCGAAGCCCCATTCGCTTGCGAAGGCTCGTGGGACGCCATCGTTGGCATTCGAGTCGAACGACAGCCACCCTGGGAGGAAGAAGAGCGCCTTATCAGCTGGATATGCTCTCTTGGACAGCATGACTGCATTAATTTGGGTGAGTTACTTACATGACCAATACGGAGTCGTCTCTGCGTCGTTCCACAGCGGTGCATCGAAGATTCCAACACCAGAGTCGTGCTCTGTTGAGGGGTGGCGGTCCGTTAGCATTTGTCGGTGACTAGAGAGTTCCTTTGCCATTTGATTCTCTGTGGGGAACATCGAGTACAAACTTACTCTTGATATCTTCGCACGTCGAGTCGCCATCAATTTCGTCTCCTTCCCCGCCACCTACAGGTTCAGGAGCACGCCAGTCGCAAGAATTGATGTACGCATGAACAATACCGCTTCCGAAGACGACAAGGTAGTCGTCCTTGCCGTCTCCGTTCAGATCGGCGTAACGGACGGGACCCTGGGGGCTGGTGCCCGTTGAAATGGTGCCCATGTTGGCCCAGTTCCTCGCCCGGCCAATATCTGGGATGTTGCCCGTGTTGTTGTATCCTTTGACGGCGCCTCCGACGTACTGGATCAAGTAGTCGGCCTTGCCATCGCCTGTGATGTCGGCGAAACGGACCTTACTCCCAGGCTCGCCCACGCCGGTAGCTACTGTGGTCCTGTAGCCCCAGATTCGGCCGCCGTTCGTTGCCGGGATGTTCTTCTGATTGAGCCAGGCATCCACAGCGCCTCCGTCGAAGACGACAAGATAGTCCGCATAGCCGTCTCCGTTCAAGTCGGCGAAACGGACCTTGCGGCCGGGCTCACCCACACCTTCGGAAATGGTTTGACCTGTCTGCCAGATGCGGTCTTTGCCCTTGTCTGGAAGGTTGCCATTGTTGAGGTACGCCTTGACACCGCCCTCTCCATAGACCACGAGGAAATCAGCTCGCTTATCGCCATTGACGTCGGCAAAGTGAATCGTTGCAGAGGACAGATCTTCGTCTAGACCAGGCGCAATCTCTCCAATGTCATCCCAGACGCCGAGTCCCTTGTTGAGCCAGGCTCTTGCGCGGCCCTTGTGATTGACAGAGACTATGTCGGCCTTGCCATCGCCTGTGAGGTCGGCGAAGCGTAGACTGGCGCCCTTTGTACCGACGATACCGAGGTTCTTCCACATTCGGATGCTGCCATCATCTGCCACAGCCAAGAAGTCAGACTGGCCGTCGCCGTCCATGTCGGCGAACCTGATCATGCTGCCAGTCACGCCGCTGACGCCGGGCACGATGGTGCCAAGATCCAACCAGTTGCGTTGCTCTCCGTTGCTGTTGAGGTTTCCAGTGTTGAGGAAGGACTTGACGGCGCCGCCGTCATATACAATAAGGTAGTCTGTAGGAGCATTTTGTTAGCGACTCAAGTTTGTCGTGCAGCGAGACTTGCAGATTCCATTATTTCGTGACTTACCAGCCTTGCCATCGCCGTCCAGGTCCTGAACCCGAACGCGATTCTCCGGCACGCCTTGAGGACCTGGGGCTACAGTCACCGCTGCCTCCCAGTTCCTCTTATTTTGATCCTTGCCGTTGTTCTGCGTGTTCCTTGCCCACTTGACAGCACCACCAGAGTATACGACGACATAATCAGCGAAGCCATCGCCATCCATGTCTCTAAAGTTGACGTTCTCACGAGGTGCCAGCCCGGTAGCCCACTGCGAGTCAAGGGCCTTGAACACATACTTATCCGTGTTCTTCCACACCTTTGCAGCGCCGTCCGAGTACAGGACGATCAAGTCTGCCCTGCCATCGTTGTCGACATCAGCCATGCGCACCATGTCGCCCGTAATCGTCGACCAGTCGGGGTTGATCTTGCCGATGCTCGTCCACTGATTGGGCTTGCCGCCGTTGATCCAAGCTCTGACGGTCCCGTCGTCGTCCGCCACGACGTAGTCGGAAATGCCGTCGCCATTGAGGTCTGCCAGTATGACTTTGTTCCGGCGTCCATTCTCGACAGGGCCCCTGATGGTGCCGACCTCTTCCCAGACGCGAAAGCCATCAAAGACCTGGCCCTTGCTCTCAAAATTGCGTCCACCGCAACCGGCAGATCCAGCACCGGCGGGCGCATCCTCCCAGCCAAGTCCCATACCCGAGAGCTCGTCTGCGTTCACTTTGGCCGGGGCCTTGATCCAGCCGCGCTCGTGTGCCTCCAGGATGGCATTGAACCACGCATCGGCCATCTTGCCGTACCCAGCATTGTTGGGGTGCTTTCTGTCAGACAAGTCGCCGGCTCCAATGGTGATGGGCACAGCGAGCACGTGCTCTCCGGCCTTCTGCTTGGAGGCGATCAAGGTCGTGAGCTGTTTGTTGAAGCGATCGGTGTTGGCATTCATGCGAGCGTCGTTGGCCCAAATGACGGGCGCGACGAGGACGACAGTGTTCGGGGAGCCCTGAAGCAGGTCATCGATGATGCCTTCGATGAGGGCCGGCGCTTCGCCGAGGTCGACCTCCTTGTCCATGTTGTTGGTGCCCGCGTGGACGAGGACGACGTTCGGGCGAGCTTGAATCGAGCGCTGCAGATAGGTCCTGATCTGCCGCAGGTACTCTCCGCTGTGCCCCTCGTGGTCATTGTCCGCCATGGTGCCGTGCCACATGCTGCCGATCATGTCGACTGAGATTTCCGTGTCAGTCCCTTGCGTTGTGAGCTTTTGCCGCAGGCGGTTACGGTAGCCGTTGTTATCGCTGGACCCGCTGCCCTTGGTGATGGAGTCTCCGAGCGGCATGATACGAAGGTCCGGCAGAGACTGACCGGCGACCAGGGAAGCCATGCCGGCCGCGAGGGCGGTCGCCCAGACGAGGCCATGGCGAAAGCCTTGGAGAAGGCATGGTGCTCGGGGATAAGGGGTAAAGGAATGACTACTGTTGTCCGAGATGCCAGGTGTAAGCCAGCATTGATTCACCTTCAGACGAGCAGCGGGACGGCCATATATATACTGTCTCGAACCTGGGTCGGACGGCGAGCTCGCCGCGGCACATTTCCATCTTCTGGACATGGGCATTTCCGCAGTCAGCCCCGCGACGTGGGCCATTGCCGTTCCATCTCGAGCTAGTCAACCCGAAGGATCGCAAGAGCGACGGGTCGTGACAATGAAAATAGAACACAAAATGAAGACCAGCGCTGCGCGACTGAAAGTGCCTCATGCAGGGGCACTGAACGACCGCGATTCTTCCGGCCGGCCAGTCCATAGCCAGACAAGGCTGCTCTCCTTCCTAGCATGTCGCGGGTGGTGCGCGTGATTGGCCGCCCAGCAGCCTTCCGGGGCGCGGTAGTTTGGGCAGAAGCCGTGGGTTAAGATTAAGAAAGGGCCCCTGTCCCGGACGAGCTGGCGGGGATGGTGATCCCTCCGAAGCTTGATTTCCCCATGTCGATTACCGAGGCTTGTGCTGCTCCAGAATGCAGAAGACACAATTGCACGAACTTTTTCCTGGAAAGACTGTTTCTTCGAAAGAATAAAAGGGCATGGCAGCTCCTCGGGACCAGCTATACTGTCGCGAACGTATTCACATTCTGCTTTGTGTCTTAGCGAGGCCATTGCTGCATGTTCACTATGGGCAGGGTACAAGCTTGAATGTTGTTACCGCTTCTGGGCGTAGTATCCGCCCCCAACTTTTCGGACGACAATGCTGAATTAGATGCCGCTAAGTCGGCCAAGGATCTAGAAAATCATACGTGGATATGACACAGCCTGGTTGACAGGTGCCATCAGGGCCCAACCGCAAAATGAGCCTTGAAGGAGTGCATCGCCGGTCCCAATGAGGGAAGTGATCGACGATAATATCCACCCACCGAGGTCTTGCATCCAGTCTCTTGCGATCTGTCAATCGCGGCGCTTCCGTGTGTCTATCGGCAGCCGCCTATGCTGTTTCGGTCCTCGAGGCGGTGGCAGAATGTCACGATTGGCATGGCACGAGATCCGGCTCCCATGTCCAGGCGTGACTCGAGGAGCATTTGCGTAGCTGATATTTGACACTAGGGAAAGGCTTGTGATCAATGTGTACTGCTGTTCAGGGGCGGCTTCTGTGAGCGGGATCCATCTGGAGTATCTGCTGTGCCATAATGGAACCTGAAGATTCGTCAAGGTGGGTGCTCCGTCTCGTCAAAGAAGAGTCCAATCCAGCTGACTAGATCCCACCCGGACGGGTTGGCGGAAGGCCCGTGTTGCACCGACATTGGTTTTTGCGAGCTGTGTATTCCCTTTTGTCGGAAGTTTTAAGTAAAGAGATGAGCGAATATGTGAGTGAAAATCATTATAATTCATAGAAAGATGAATATTCGGCCGCAAAGCGTTTCTTCATCATGTCCAACATCCGTCATGCGAAACAGGCGATGGATCAGACCGTGCATACGTGAGAGTGTTATTCTTGGTAAGGCGGATAGGCTTCCGCAGCCCTGCGGATCATATGATTCTGGAACATAGTCCCAAGGCATATCTTGTGAATACCTTCAAGGCCTAAGATTCTAGAATAGACCCTAGAGTCCTCAAAATCCAGGGCATCCTAATTCTCCGGGTTCGCCGCCTCTTGAGATCACCTCCAAGGATCACCAGCACTATAGAGTCTCCAATCAGGTGGTTACGGTTGTTCCAAGCAAGCATGTCCCTACTTGAAGCTTCTGACCGGGCGCTGCACATCCTTATGAGCAGCATCCAGAACACGGGATACACCAAGGTGCAACGTCTGGAATGGAGAAAACAAGATTGGGTGTAAGAACTGTCCCTCAACGAACACCTCACTTCTTCATCTTTCCCTATCAAGCTATGCGTAGCGTTTTGTCAATCGCAAATCCTTCAAGACGATCCACAGCACCAAAAGCGTCTCCGATGAAGAGCCCAGCAAAGTCACTGTTCTCCAGACAACATCGCTTCGACATGTGAAGCATGCCCTTTGCCCAGCAATTCTTATTGCGGTATGTAGGTAGGCGTCTGCAGATAACAGAGATCTGATCACTAGATCTGTTGCGCTACAAGCCCCAACTCCCATCGCCACATTGGCCACATGTATGCATCAGAATCGAAAAAACTGTTCACGCCCCTAGAGAATAACCCATATCGCAGAAAATGTGTCTATCCAATCAAGCTTTCAAGGCCCTGCTCGCGGGCTGGTCAATCATCATGGCACACGACGCACAGCACCCTGGCCAAGATGAAGGCATTAGCACCTTGATGGCCACGGTGTCTTATCCGGAGGGCAGCTTCTGATGAACAGCTCTAGTAGCAAGTTCTGCTGGGAAGGAATCATAGGGAAGACGCCGCTAGGATGCCGTCAAGGTGAAAGTGGCCGGATGCAATCACGGCACCCCGAGGCTTCTTCTCCCGAAATCTGCGCCGACGCCGTGCCCCACCCTGCCGCCCACTCCGGCCGGCGGGCAGCGGGGACTGCGGGGTCGGGCGGGTTAAGGTTAAGTTGGCCGATCTCCACCGACAGGTTCCTCACCTTCCTCATTCTGCCTGGCGTTACTGTATCGCGACTCGTCGAGGGACCAAGATGACGACACAAGTTTCTTGGTATTGGGCATCGCAACGAGCAAAAATGCATGTTGCTTATCAGCGCTGTCGGGTTGCATCGGACAACTGGGCCAAGGACCAAGGGATCGGCGGCACCTTTGGAGGCTGTGCTCAGCGATGTTCATCTTATTTAAATAATGGCTTGGGCCGTCGAAATGGGGAGGTCGCGGAGCTCGAGAGATTGCCATCTTTCTCGAACCCACGCTGGAGATAGCCTCTACTCAATTCGAAGTCCCTCAGTATGCGCCTCTCAGCGTCAATTGCGGCGGGCCTGGCCCATGTCGGACTCGCAGCGGCACAACTTGCTTACGCTGACAACCAAGTCACGGTGCTTCAAGACGAGGACCATGTCGCGACCAACTTTCCCGAAGTCGAAGGCATTGAGCTCTTCTCACCGGCCTTCGTCAGTCCAGACACCGTTCCCGAAGCCTTCGCCAATGGCACGAGCGGCCCCACGGACGAGCTGACGATGGATCACTTCCTCCGCACGCTCGCCGCCCGCAACGACTACATGACATACCACAACCCTTCCTTCCAGTCGGAAGAGGGCCGCTCACTGCCGTACATCTATCTCTCAACCTCTGAGAAGCCGGGCAGGAGTGGCAGTCTCAAGAGCTACGCCAACAGCACGCGGTCGAACGACAAAGTCCGCATCTGGATGCAGGGCGGCGTGCACGGCAACGAGCCGGCCGGCGACCAGGCGCTGCTGGCGCTCCTCGGACAATTCGACGCCAACGCGACGTGGGCTGCCTCGATCCTGGAACACGTCGAGCTGCTTGTGCTGCGCGCTACAACCCCGACGGCGTGGCATACTTCCAGCGCTACCTCGCGACCTCGTTCGACCCAAACCGAGACCACACCAAGCTCGCGCGGCAGCAGACGCGCGACATCAAGAAGCTCGTCATGGACTATGCGCCGCACGTAGGCGTCGACTGCCACGAGTACACGGCGACGCGTGCCTACGGCGCCTCGGACCAGTGGCACGCGGCGCAGGACGGGCAGTTCTCGGCCATGAAAAACCTCAACATCCATGCTGACATTCGCGAGCTCTCGGAGACGCTTTTTGCCGACAGCATTGCGGCGGCCATGGAGAGCCGCGGCCTGCGGTGGAGCCCCTACGTCACAGGCAACGCCGGCAGTGACGACGTCGTGCTCGACGAGACGAGCTCGGATGCCAAGATGGGCGACACATCGGTCGGCCTCAGCCAAGCCGTCATGTTCCTGACGGAGACGCGCGGCATCCGTCTCGCGGACCAGCACTGGCAACGACGCGTGGCGACGGGATTGACGATGGTGCAGGCACTCGTACAGACGGCAGCTGACAATGCAGAGCTCGTCTATGACACAGTCGAGAGGGCACGCGCTGATTTCATCTCGAGCGACGAGGCCATTGTCATCACGGACTATGCGAAGGCGACGAACATTTCCTGGCCCTTCATCGACGTGACCAACGGCAGCATTGTCGACGTGCCGGTGACGTTTATGAACACGACACCCGTGACAGCGAACCTCACGCGGTCGAGGCCGCAGGCGTACGTCTTCTCGCGGGCGTGGCACGACGTCGCCGACAGGCTGCAGGCGGCGGGCGTCGTGGTGGACGTGCTGTACGGCGATTTTGAGGGCCAAGTCGAGGCGCTCAACGTGACGAGTTCGATCGTGGCGGCGTCCAAATACGAGGGCGTCGTGCGCACGACGGTGACGACCGAGTCTGTGAGCAAGGAGGTGAAGATCCCAGCGGGAAGCTACTGGGTCAGTACGAGACAGAAGAACGCAGCACACGCGTTCAACGTGCTGGAGCCGGAGAACATTGACTCGTATGTCACGTTTAACATTCTGCCGGTGGACGTGGGCGATGAGTATCAGGTGTACCGCGTGCCGGTGTGAGGGAAATGGAATAAGCGTAGGCAGATGCAGGGGACATCAAGCTAGTCCGGATAGGTTTCGAGAGGGTGGTGACTGATGTTAATCCCGCAACCGTAGCTTTGCTTTCATCAATCGGCCAGATGGCAGAGTGGTCTAATGCGATAGACTAGAAATCTATTCACTTCGGTGGCGCAGGTTCAAATCCTGCTCTGGTCGTTCTGTTTTGTTTACCTGTGTCCGGAGAGGGGATTGACATCGTCCTCTTTTGGTGTTACTGTGTATGGGGAGGAAATGGAAATAACCATATTGATGATGCAGAGGAAAGGGGTTTCTCTCTTTTGCTTCGTACCCCTCCGAGTGAGAGAGGAGGAGCAGGAGAGGAAGAGAGGAAAGGAAAGAACGACGGAGAGGCCCAAATACGTGGCCAGTCGAGTGCAGCTGGTGGCACTCAGCGGGGTATACGTACTGGCCCCGGGCCACAATGACAAGCCCCGATAAGGCCCCACGTCACTCTCGCCCGCCCCCAGCCTCAATCGCTCTTCAGGCTTCGCCAGTCAGCCAGTCAGTGCAAACCTATGCCTCGGCCGCAACCTCTGCCACCTGGTGTGCCGTCCCCTTGCCCAACACCACGCCAGCACCACTGATACGCTTTGGAAGCTGTGAAGCCTCGAGGCTTCTTCTCCTTTTGCCCGCCATGGAGACTATCCGGGCCATGTTCGCCAAACCAGACCCCCAGGCCCAGGTGCGTTTCTGGCCCTCCCCTCCCTCCCCCTCCCCTCCCTCTCGCCGCGACGAATGAACGCCAGCAAGAGAGACGGCTGCTGACGGCCAGCGCCTTTCAGCTTCGAAAATGCAACACGCTCCTCCGCTCCAACATTCGGAAGCTCGACCGCGACATCCTCGCCGTCAAGCAGGTCGAGGTCAAGACCAAGAACCTCATCATCGCCGCCGACAAGCGCGCCCAGCGCGACCCGACGCGCGCGCGCCAGGCGCAGAAGGAGGCCCGCGACTTTGCGCGCGAGCTGATCCGCGCGCGCAAGACAAGCGCCCGGCTCGTGACCTCCAAGGCCCAGCTCAACAGCGTGCAGATGCAGGTCAACGAGGCCTTTGCCGTGCGCAAGATTGAGGGCTCCATCCGCGCCAGCGTCGGCATCATGAAGGACGTCAACACGCTCATCCGCCTGCCCGAGCTCGCCGGCACCATGCAGGAGCTCAGCGTCGAGCTCATGAAGGCCGGCGTCATCGAGGAGATGGTGGGCGAGAGCCTGCCCGAGGAGATGGACCTCGAGGGCGAGGAGATCGAGGCCGACGGCGAGGTCGACAAGGTCCTCGGCGAGATCCTGAAGGACCGCATGCCCAAGGAGAAACTGCCGACCGTGCCTGTTCACCAGGAGCCCAAGCAGGCCGAGGAGGAGGACGAGGAGGACAACGAAGCCATGATGGACCAGATGCGCGACCGTCTCGAGGCGCTGCGGAGCTGAGACGAGGGACATCAGACGGAAGCGCAGACGTCGAAAGACGAGAGGCGAGAGAAAGACGAGAGGCGAGAGGCGAGAGACGGAAGGCACGGAAATAGGCGCGGTCTGGTTATCTGTCTGTCTATACGCATGTGTTCGCGGGGGGCGTTTTTGGAGTTTCTGCGGGTGACCGTCTTCTGCCGAGACGAGGCTGTGGCCACGAACCTCGAGACTGGGAGATACGCACGGGACGACTTTATGGGGGGGTTCTTCGACGTGGGGTTGTCGTCCTGATGCATTATGGCGCGATCGCAAGACGATGCGCCTTCACATCCACGGTGGCTTGTTCTAGACTAGTATCAAATGGGACCTATCTTCGCCATAATAATTGGTGTTTGTCACGCGTCATGCCAGGCGAAAATGGTTGATCCTGGATGGATCACCACAACGCATTGCTCTATCGTGAAGTCCTTTTGATCGTCTCAATTTGCCCTCTCTGCCGCAACGGATGAGCACATCTGGGCCGGCCTCAGGAAGACAGCCTCATCTTAGGTACCTTGGGTAAGGTGTATATATAGGCACTACGCACAAGTGACATTGGCCCCACTTTGAAAGAGAGGCAAGAAAGAGAGCAATATCACCCTCACACATTCCCACCCCCCACACGATGAACATCGTGAGAGCCATCCAAGCGCAACTCAGACCAGCATCCGGCCCGCGAGTCCAGATCCTGTCCGATCTCCACCTCGAAGTCTGCCAGCAGTATGCGTCCTACCGCTTCCAACCCTCGGCACCGCTGCTGCTCCTTGGCGGCGACATTGGCCGCCTCATCGATTACGAGGGCTACCTCCACTTCCTGGAAGCCCAGGTCGCCCGCTACCAAAAGGTCTTCCTGGTGCTCGGCAACCACGAGTTCTTCGGGCTCGGCTACGATGCGGGCCTCGCCCAAGCCCGCCGTCTCGCCGCCGAGCCCAGCCTCGCCGCCGGCCTCGTCCTGCTCCACAAGACGCGCTGGGACGATCCCGAATCCGGCCTGACGATCCTCGGCTGCACGCTCTGGTCCGCGCTGCCTGAAGACAGCTACGACCTCGCCAGGGCCAGAGTCAGCGACTACGCCCAGATCCACGGGTGGACCCCCGCAAGGCACAACGAGGTCCACGCCGACGAGGTCGCCTGGCTCCGCGAGCAGGTCGCGCAGGTCACGTCTGGCGGCCGACAAGAAGGCAGAGCGCGGCAGCTCCTCGTGGCGACGCACCATGCCCCGTGCGTCAAGGGCACGTCGCGGCCGGAGCATGCGGCGAGCCCCTTGTCGTCCGCTTTCGCAACCGATCTCGTTCATGAGAAGGCCTGGGCCGGGATCAAGGTCTGGGTCTTTGGCCACACGCACTTCTCGACGAGCTTTACGCAGAACGGCATCAGGCTGGTGGCTAACCAGAGGGGCTATGTTCTCCCCAACGGCAAGACGTTGGAAAACGAGAGCAAAGCCAAAGGCCGTCAAGCGTTCGACGCCGCAAAGTTTGTTACTCTGTGAGCTCACAGTTTCATGGAGCAACATGAGTTCAGTGTCCTCGTGGCTGTTTCTGCTGCCCCGCTGTCCATCCTTGTCGAAACGAAGTGCCGCTCATCTCTAATGCTGAGAGAGGGCCGGACTGTCCGGTGCCTAGGATGTCCTCGCCAGTTCCAGCAAAGTCAACTCACGCGAAGTACTCAAATCTTCCGCCACAGAAGCACGCGTTCTTGTGCAAATGAGAGAGAAAGAGAGAAAAAGAGAGAAAAAGGTCATGGTCAAATGCCAGGCTAGATGTCTTTGTAAGAGGACTGCAGAGCTGATTCATCCTCCCCTCAGCAATATTGATATTGTGACCATGCTAATGCTCAATTAAGCCTTCGTGTCGAGAAAAGCCAGAGGCTCTATAGAACCGGGTTCATGCCATGATATAGATTGTCCAGGGTCGGATCGCGTTGCGCAAGCAGGGAAATTAGCTTCAATATGACACCGAGGAAACTCTGTCCTTCCCCCGAGCCGATATGCTATCGAAAGGCCTGGTCGTCTTCTTCAGTCACCCACCGTATGTGTTTCGGCCACAAGACTGGCATTGGCGCCCAAGGCGTTCCGTCAAATTCTGCGTCACACGACGACAAATGTACAAATCTGCACGAGCAAAACGTAAAAAGAAATGAAACACGTCATTCCATTCACTCCAACGCGTTGGATGTAACGTCCCCCGATCCCCCGAGGGCCAAAGAGAACACCCCACCCAAAATCGTGACGAGACTCAAGAGCCCCCCCCCCCCGGTCGGGCTGTGAGCAAACCAGCGCGCCCGCTCGGCATCGCTCAGCATCGATCTAAGCACATCTAAGCAGTGCAGATCCCGTCCCGCCACATCTTATTCATCCCGCCCGGCACCCCAACAGTGGGGCCGCAACGCGATATGCGCAGCGGGGTCTTCCCTCCCATCTTCGCCGAGCGGACTTCCGCCTATTCCACTGCCTTCCCCCTTCCCCTTCCGTTCGAGGGGCCGCACGACGCTGAGTAAAAGCCCCATCCTCGCGATCGTGATTCTCAGGTTGGCCCCCTGGCTGGACCGAAAGACTCGACAAGGCTCTCTTTGGTTCGGTCTTGATGCCTTTATTCGGGCTTAGCCTGCCCGGCGGTCAAGGTAACTCATCGTGACCAAGACGAACCGGGGCGGGCAGACAAGTGGTTGTGTGCATCTTCCCGCGCATCAGAAGGAGGGGTGCGTCACACGGGGAGGTATTTTGTGGCAAGAAGGCCGCTGGACGACGAGGAGGCGGAGCACGGCAGACATGGAGGGGGAGGGGATTGTTCGGGCTGGCTTGGCTCCACGGATGAAAAGCTAATAGACCGATGTTGCTGGATCGCGGGCTTGGGATGGGCGGAGACAATCAGATATAAAAGGAGAGTGAGAACCTCACACCTCGATATCATGTATCCTCCCTCCTCAGCCAGTCCAGCACCAGCACCAGTACCTCTCAGCCTCATTGACCGTCGCTATGAAGTTCTCCGCCACCCTCAGCCTCGCCGTTTCGGCCCTCGTGTCTGCCGTCGCAGCCAAGTCGAATAACGGTAGGTGTCCTAGCCATGAATCTTAGCCTGACGTGTAGCTGTTGAACCTGTGACTGACCGAGCTCTCACAGCCTATGTCCATGAGCGCCTCGACAAGAACGACACGCTGCTGCTCGTCGTCGATATCCAGGAAGGCCTGATCAACATTGCGCGCGACTTTGACCCGACTGTCTTCCGTAACAACTACCTCGCTCACTCGAGCCTCGGCCGGGTCTTTGACCTTCCCGTCATCCTGACAACGTCGGCCGAGACGGGCCCCAACGGGCCCCTGCCGGAAGAGATCTTGACCTTCAACCCTACGGCGCCCCTGATCCGGCGCAACGGCGAGGTCAACGCCTGGGACAACGAAGAGTTCCGCGACGCCGTCCGCGCCGCCAACAAGACGCAGATCATCCTCGCCGGCATCACGACCGACGTCTGCACCGCCTTCCTCGCCCTCTCCCTGCGCGCCGAGGGTTACTCCGTCTGGGCCAACCTCGAGGCTTCGGGTACTACGACCGACCTCATCCGCGACGCCTCCAACGACCAGATGCGCGCTGCCGGCGTCACCGTCACGAGCACCTTTGCCATCGCCATGGACCTCATGCGCGACTGGCGCAACACCCCCGGCGCCCCGGAGCTGCTGCCCTGGCTTGACACCTATTACCCCGTCTACGGCAACCAGGCGCGCGGCCACCGCGCGGCCGTCGCCAACGGCACCCTGCTGCCCGGTCAGGACACCCTTCCTCTCTAAATTGGGGGGCCGGGGATGGTTCGGAACCTCTGCCGGCAGTGCGTCAGCCAGTCATTTCAACGGCGCCGTTGCTGCGTTTGATGATCTTTCATCGCCAGGGAGGCCTACATGGTGACACAGTAGGAGCTGAAGCGCATGCAAGGGGGAAGAGCATGACTCTGATGAGGGATAATACCAGAGCGCACCGCTTGACTCTGGCGAAGGCCAATGCCAAAGTGCACGGTAGACTTTCGGTCCCCAGAGCTCATGTAAGGACGTAGGGAATAGATGGCATAGCACAACACGTAATCTGCTACGAATCGAGGAAAGCAAAAATGCACAGTCGTTCCAGGCTAGATCATGTCATGCGTGTGCGCTATGTTTGTGCAATGACCTTCAATGCAACGGCAAAAGCCATGACTCTTGTGCTTGTGAACGGACTTCCGTCTCACACATGTCAAGCACCTCGGGATGAACCCCGACGCATGGACAGAGGTGTAGATGTAGAAGACCATGCGTGATTGCAAAGTTGGATCCCCGGTGCATGGTCGAAGCCCCCCCCGAAAACCGTCTACAGCCCTGTTGGCTGCTTGATAGCGCTAGAAGGGTCATCGAATCCTTCTGCTATGGAGCTAGAAGGGTTTTCCTCGGGAAACGAGTCAGTACTCCGACGATGGCTCTGACCCTCTTCAGTCTCCATTGCCACTACACCAACCGGGCGGCCCCTTCTTCTCGGGGTCGTTCGTAGGCTACGAGTCGCAGCCTTCTAGGCTGGCGCTGGCGCTGGCGCGGAAAGTCAGAATCTCGACAGGCGTTTCCTCATGCGGACCGCACAGCTAGGAGACGTTTCTATGCCGACGGTTGTCCGCCTCCGTGTGCGGGGCAATGTCCCGGTCCGACTGGCGCCAAATGCCCGAGGAGGGCCGACACATGCCAACCCAGTCTGTCTGATTACGGCAACCTGTCGGACCGAGGGAGTGCGGTGAGTGCTTGACTCGGGAAAGGTCGTGAGCACCAGCTGAAGTCAACGTGCATCATGGTTGTCACACAACAGGCGTCGTCGAATGAAGCGGCAGGCATTAGACCAAGGTGTCGGACAGAATCGGTCGCCTTGGTCTTGTAACTTCGAGATGAATATAGAGCAGGGGTGGGCGGTGGAGAATCGGGATGTGAGTCGTAAATGTCCTGGCGGCCGGTTCTCGGTTCTTGAGGAGTAGTGATGACGTAGCTGCGATATGGATGTAACTAGCAAAACAAGATCGAGATACCTGGAAGCTGGCTTCGATGCCGCGCACTGGCTATGTATCGGGTGCATCCGGCTGCCCATGGCATCCCGCGTATTGGGCATGACTTTGATTGCCGTTATCGGTATGTCATGCTGAGAAGGTTATTGTGTCGTGCCGCGAATTGCGGTGAAATGTAATCATGACCCTTTCTGTTTGGAGTAAACATGGTCGACCGTTCTAGTCGTGGGGTCGGAGGATGCATCAAGGTCAAATGACCAATAAGGCCATATTTTGCGCGTCTGTCATAATTCAAGGCGTAGGTAGCAACGCACGGGACCAACAAGCTGCCTGGTTTTGAGGCAGCGGAAAAGCAAACGTGATGTCGAATGTGCTGGGCGCACTGATACGTGACCAACCACGCATTAGAGCGTCGCAGGTGCTCAGCACGGGGGTACCACAAAGGAAATCAACTCGACGGACGACAGCGCTAAGATCTGTTATGTATCGCCAACAAGTGACCTGAGCCTTTCCACGCCAGGCAACATGTGATAACGACAGCGATTGGGGTCGTCCAGCAATCGCAGAGTTTCATCTGGACTCCTGACTTCGAGAGGGGGTCACGAGTTGGACGAGGACCGCGTGGGATGTCTCTTGTTCATCCCACGCCTCCCTTCCCCCACCTATTGCAGGTAAGGCGGGTTACGCGGGGGGCGTGGATCTCCCATGCTGAGTGCGGGACGTAGCAGCAACGTTGTGTGAGTGAGTGGAGGGGACCTTGCCGAGTTACTGCGATGAGCCAACAGCTGCTCGGGACAAGATATTGCGGTGGTCGCACGTGAAGACAAAGTAGGTTAAATTGGTCACCACGCTTGTCGGCAGCGCTGGCCCCTGGTCCGACGCTTTCCAAAAGGCGCGTCGCGAGGGTTAAATGACCTGCCCCGAAAGGCAACTGACAGCCGTCATGCCGCCCTCGTTAGATAGTATTGCTCTTGCGGGATTGCCATCTCCTGCCTGTCCTGACAGAAAGGCCTGTCCGGTAATTCGGATTGCGTGCTGGTTCCAGCATATGTAAATGGGCCTAAGGAACGAGTCTAGAAGGAGAGGAGCCGACGAATGTTGGTGGTCAAAGCATCGAGAATTGGTACGCTTCGTAGCGCATATCGTCCACTCACCAGTAGCAGCCGAAGCGGCTTCTCGCCCATTCGCACCGAAACTGCCGAGGGCGCGTACGCTTCGGGGAAAGTGATTGAGCAAGTGGCCAAGCGGTCCAACAAGCTGGCAGGGCCGGCCCAGTGCTGCGAAGTGCTCCAAGGGTCCTGGGGCCTGAAGGGGCCGATCGCTACCAACTTCACAGGCGGGGCCTGATGGACGGGCATGGACAGGGAGGGAGTGCCCCCAAGGAGAGTCCCCGTCCGCCTGGACCCGGAGATCGAGCTCCCGCTGGAGGAAGGATTGAGGCGAAAAGGGTCCTGGAGTCGCCGCCAAGGGGATCGAGGTCCCTGCTTCTGCTTTGTTTGCTTTGCTACTGGTGAAAGATCTCGGATCGTCCAGCCGCCTGCCTTTCCGGAAAATCTACCGCCTCTTTCACCCCTCAAGCCCCCTCATTCCCCTCGCCGAATCCCCTGTTGAACGACCACCTGAGATTGTGAGCGGTTCTCGGACGCTCGAAATCGCGGGCTAGCCATTGATGGAGCGGTCGAGTCGATTCCAACGCTTTGTTGAGGGGCCGCCGTTGGTGCGCCGCAGGCTGGCGCGGCTTTTCACCCAGACGAACAGGTGTAGGTTTCGTCTTTCGTCGACCTGGTTGGTGGACTTGACTGGCGACTCACAGCCGTTGTGTTGAGCGTCCTCTTCCCTGTGGACAATCACTCGTCCAGGCATCGAGGGCGCAATTGTCACGAGTCAGGGTCAGCTGAAGTAAGCAATCCATCAATCAAGCTACAGTATCGCGGCGGTCAGTCACCGTTGGTTTGCCGCAGCGGCTACAGACACTGCTGGACGGTGGAGGCGCCGCTGGGATGGAATCCTGATGGCGGTGAGTCACTTTGGGGTGCCGTTGAACAACACACAAGGACAGGTCTTTTGAACAACGATGCATCGTCACCGCCCCAACGCCATTCTGCACCGTTGGATCGATGCGATGCAGATGTGACTCTGATGGGACGGGAGCGGCGGGAAGCGGCGGGCGGCGTAGGTCGGGCAGGCAGAACTGAACGGATGCCACTGAGCGGTGTTGTGGTAGGGGACACACGAATCCGGATAGCGACCAACCAAACAATGTTGAGGGAGCGTGAGTGAGGCCCTGAGGGAATGCTGACGATGCTACGGCGCGGCGAGGCGTTGGCCATTGGAACTATTGCCAGGCAACGTCGCAACGGGGTGCGTGTTGCTGATTGTGTGGCTCGTAACCGAATCGACTGGCATTAAGTGGCCACCCTCATACTCGCTCACGTACTAACACAACACACCCTCCCACCCGGTCGGCGACGCGTTCGTTTGCCTGGCTGGCATCCAAAAGAGACTCGGCTTTTGGGAGTATTCCACCTCAATTCCACCAAGGCACACACTTTCCCTCGGCTTCGCATCGTCAGAGCAGGCTAGGCGCAAACCCCGCGAATGGAAGGGCGACGGTTTAGCACCAGCTTGTGAGAGGCTGAGACGCTCCGCCAGTGCCCGAGAAGGCGCGCCTAAGACGGGAGAGATGACTCTTTCAGCTCGACTCGTCTCGTCGGCCGCAACCAAACCAGTTTTGGATAACCGTGACACTCAGGGCAACCTGTCTCTGGGCGCTGCTGAAAACCTGGGGGTGGAGGAAGAAATCGCGGGGGACTGGTTTCTGAATTTGGACGCCATCTTGTTTGCTTTGCCTCGTTAGTCTGGCTGTCTATGGTTTGTTGTCTGGTTGGCGTCCTTTCGTCTTCTTGGTTTGGCGATTCTGCTCAATCGGATGACACCGCAAGGCGATCATCGTTCCTTCTGACACCCCATCCCTTCCTTCCTGAGCCGGCGGCCAGACCCGGGCACCAGGATGCAGGCAGGCAGGCAGGCAGAGGTGATTGTTCATCAAAAGCGAGGTTTGATGACGGTAACTTCCTTTTCTCGCCTCGTCCCAGCAAAAGGACCTGCCTCAGACTCACTTTCCTTGCCTGCCTCCCTGCACACCCAGGCCTCGGTAGGTCTGCCTGCCAGATTCAGCATGCGCCTTCCCGGCTGGATGGATGATGGGATGGCATGGAAATGGGGGAAGGACCGAAGCACGGTTGGCACGGGCTCCTCGCATCTCGGGGAGGAAGCCGCGAGCGGGAGAAGGAAGGAAAAGGTGGGGCCTTCTGTCAAGGGGACAGCGGCGCCTGCCTTTTCGCATCTCAGACAGACCGAACGGGGAACCCAAGCGGGATTGTCTTTTGGCGCGGTACGTACCGATGAAGGGAGGGGGGAAGGGGGGTCGCATTACTGACTCACTGCCTGATGTGTATACTGGGAAAGCAATAGCCCAGGTTGATTGACAGCTCACTTTGGGGCGGGCGGGTTTGCTCCCGGGGCGGTATTGCTTGCTTGTGCTC